GAGAATCCTATTTATTCTTCAAGACCCAAATAAATGGAATCTCAGATTGGTGACCAGGTTGGGAGCTTACAAGGAAGTGCCAAGCTGGGTACAGGCTGCAGGCCACAGAGATGGAAGAGCCAGGGACCCTGCTCTGAAGGAGGCAGAAGCCCGTGGGAGGCAGACAGGAGAATGCACCCACACCATGGTACAGGATGTGTGGGTGCAGAGCGTGTGGGAACAGGACACTGGGCAGCTTGTCTGGTGCCTGTTCCCACTGCCCCACCTCTTTCTGTGCCCCTGCCACGTCTGACAGCTTCCCACTGGGTCTGGGTGCCTTGGGGACAGAGGCTGGGCTTGTTCCTCTTGGCACACACAGTACCTGACATGTGAGTGGTGTCTAAGTAATGTTTGGTGATCAATTAGATGAATGAATGAGGTTTAGTTTCTAGAAGAAAAAAAGTCATAGGAGATAACAGAAGGTGGGATGCTGTGGTCGTGGCGGGGGTAGAATCCTCTCTTCCTCATTTTCCCCCAAGTGGCCTGATCAGCAGACTGCAGAAGTAAGGGGTGGCTTCCAGGGCAGGCACAGGCTGTGGGTGGTGGTTCTCACCTCTGCGACCGTCAGCAGGATCTCATTGCTCTCCCAGAGGAGGGTCAAGATGATCCCCTTAAAATCCCTGCAACAAACACAAGACAGGTCCCTGAGGGGCCTGGTCTAGACACATCCACATGGACAAAACCAAATGAGCAGAACTCTCCAAGTGCTCTGTTTCAAGGTCACTTCTTGAAATTACTCACTGCTGCCCCAGGACCTCTGCACACTCTGATTCCTCTCCATGACAGCAGCAATTTCCGACCACCTGGTTTTAATACGCTTTGATTAATGCCCCCTCAGCCCTATGGCATGCTAATCAGGTGGATTTGGGCTGATTAACCACCATCTCTCCCAGCAGTCTGCTCTGTGATGGCCACCAGGGTTTAAGGTCATAAATGGGAGGCTATCAAGCTGAAATGACTCCAGTGCCTGGACTTCCTACCTAAAAAACAAACCCAACTCAGAATGAACGGTCAAAGTCTAGGAAAATGTAAGCTTAATCAGAAATCGTCAGCTAGGAACTTCTCACTTTAAGCAAATATTTTCTTTGCCTTGCTTCTGTGAACATCTTATAAAAGGTTCCCCCTGGTGTTCCCTCAGTGGATCTCTGCACCGCTGGTGGTCTGGCAATGCCCAACACATGAATAGCTGACTGCTCAAATAAACTCACCAGCATTTTAATGTGCCTGACTTTATCTTTTGACACAGGACATGGCCCTGTCTGTACTTGTTCACCATGGAATCCCCAGCCCCACTGCAGTGCCTGCAGCTGGCAATGCCTTGATTAGCTGAAAGAATGATTACTCATAAATAGTTCAAATGAACAGGATTCCATGTAGGACCAAACATCTGCCTGCATCAAGCTGTAAAGAACAGAAGGCCAAAGTATTAATTGTGCAGGAGTGCCCCTGGGTGTCGGACGAGGCAACTGTCTACCTGCCAGCTGGCGGCTACACCTGGGCTGCCTGATGTCACAGCCACACTTCTCTTGAAAAGTTCACGACCCCCAGAGATGAGGTCCCCAGGGTGAAAGGGCTGATGAGATGGGCCGCCGTATGGGGGTGATCTCTGATATAGGGGAGGGGGAACTCCTTTGTGGAGCTTGACTTTCTCTGAAGGCTTTTCGTTTTCTGAACTTGGAATTTTGCTTGTTTGCTTGCAATGAAGCTATACTAAGTTTAACAGCTTTTTTTTTAATCACTAGAGTTACAATAAAGGAAAAGAGAAATGGGGGAAAGCACTGAAAAACATTACAAAAAAAAAAAGCTCAGACCTCGAAGGGGATCTGTTGCCCTACCACCTGGAAATGCTTGTTAGCTCGGAGAATGTGAAATTTTGATGAAAATGTTTCTCAACAAATTTAGGTGAAGTGGGCCAAAACAAACTGACCTTGATCTTTGATGTCCCCTCTCACTGATCCCCTGCTTAAACCTCCCTTTCCCCTTTCTGATTTTTCCCCTCAGCTGAGTCACATTTGCTGCTCCCCAACCCAAACAGGCTGAATACAGTCAAAAGGAAAGGCATTGTCACTCACTCGGCGGGAGGAGGAGGCTTGTCCCCGAGCACCTGGTACTTTCTCTCCGTTTTGTTGGGCTTGGAGTGCCGCGTGAGGCTGTAGGACAAAGGTGGGTGGGTGGTCTGGAGGCTGTGGACGACACAACGTAGGTCTGAACCTGCAGGATCCCTGCCTAAGTTGCTGGAGGCGTGGTACCTGCCGGTGGGCGACCCAGCTCCCATTTCCAGGGTCCAGCCCTTTGAGACGTGTCCCTCCTCAACAGTTGTGTCTCTACCTTATCGTGGGGTGAAACCTTAATCACCTTAACTGCTAAAACCCAACCATGGCTGCTGGGAGAGGGTGAGGGGCAGAGGCGCTCAGGTCCAGAAATTTGCATTCTTGCCTCCCCGTGATGAGGACCCAAAGAAAAAAAGTTGAACCACAAGCAGGATTGCCAGATTTGGCCATAACAATACAGTGCACCCATTTAAACCTGAATTTCATATTAACAGAGTGATTTTCAGCATTAGTATATCACATGCAGTATTTAGGATATACTTATGCTAAAAAAAATTAGGTGGTGTTGATCTGAAATTCCAGTGTAGATGGGTGCCCTCTCTTTTATCTGGCAGCCCTAGTGACTTGGACTTCCTTTTGTAACCTCAGAGTCTGAACATGGAAACTGCTCATGCTGGATCATATAAAAAGAGAGCTCTGACCCACGATGTGCAGCAACCTACCCAGGAGACCACCCCCTTATCTACAAGAAGCCACCCAGGAAGTCAGCCTGCTCTAAGTCAGACTTGCAGGAAGTGCGACTGTCAGCTCTGGGGACAGTCTGTATCATCACTAATCAATTGTTATCGCCTATAACAGCAGGCCCCAAACAGGCAAGACTTGATTAATAAATGACAGCTTTCCTAATTTTTGTCCTCATTTCCAACTTCGGACCAACCAGAGAAAGTCAAACATGTCCCCTCACCAATCACCTGGGATGCCCTGCTTTCAGTGGGCAGCCTCCAGCTTCCCCATGCCACAACCCCCAACCAGGGCACAGCTGGAGAGGAGGGCAACGCTTCCCATTCCTCTCCTGCCCTGGGAGCTCTACTGACACGCCCTGGATGGTGGCTGACTCCCTGCTGTGGTCAGCCCTGAGTCAATAGCCTTTGCTCTTCTCCTGGTGGCTGGTCTTTTGTTTCGTTCCGCATTGCATGCAGCACACACGCTCAACGAGACCTTCTGGAGGGAAAGGCAAAACAGGGATTCCCTTAACCTTCTCAAAACCAGGAATGAACCCGTGTCAACCAGGTTGACACAAAGAGCTAGCAAGTCTGCTCAGCCACGGGGCTTCTGATATGCCCCTTCCATAAAATCTGCATGTGAGGTAAGCTTCGAGTTTAATGACCTTGCTGAGGCTTGGTGGGCAGTGTGCCAAGGCCCAGGACTCTTGTGCGGCTCTGTGATGTCCCTCCAGGAAAGCAGTCGGCCCCGTCTTTCTAACCATAACCGTGTGTGGCAGGGCTGAGATCCACCAGCACCATGGACAACCAGCAAACCAAGGACGGCGCCTGACTAAAGCCGGGGTCAGAGCTCACTCCTCACTGAGCCCCATCAAGTCTCAGGGCCGTGAGCTCCGTGGTGCCTTCTGAGGAAAAGCCTGGGAAAGTCATGGGTCATCTCCCGCCTTTGTATGGAGAGACGGACTGGGAAGGAGCGATTCTGGCCGCCCTGTGTCCTACCTGCCTGCAGAGGTGACACTGGCACTGGACAGGAGCTTCTTCCCAGAGTTTTCTGGCCGACACCGGTGTCGCTTGAAGCCTTTGGGTGACGAGGCCCCAGGACAACAGCAGAGGACAGGAGGTGAGGATGGGCCACACGGCACCGCCAGCCTCACCCCCACTGCTGTCCCGAGACCCACAAGTCTGTGCGCCTCTACCTGTCTGGGACCGATCTTTGTCACAATGGTGGGTTGGCCATTTTGCGTTGGGAGGTCTGAAACCAAAGGAAAGGGTGTGAGCTCTTCCACAGTGACCATGAGGACAGCTCCGGCCAGGGTCTGAGCAACATCCCAGTTAGTCCTCAGCACCATGTCAGTCAGTCTGGTCACAAGCCCCATTTCAGAAGAGGAACTGGGGCTCTGGGTGGGAAGCCCATTGTCTGAGGTTGCAGGCTCTCAGGGGTGAACCACATGGAGCCTCAGTGTGCGGGGCCCCAAAGCTGGTCCCTGAAGGTCCAGGGCCAGGGGCCGGGGCAGCAGGGCCTCGGGTGCACCCCTGGGGGCCACTCACTGCAGGATCTTCCTGATCACATCCACAGCGGGGTCCTCAATCAGAGGCTTCCCCATGCGGGTCAGCTGGGCGAAGGACTCAGGGGTGACCAGGTCCAGCTTGGCCTCCTCTTCAAGGGCTTCTGAAGATGTCAGGATGTCACTCTTCTCCTCCAGGTCCTTCAGGATGGTGTTCTGCAGGCCAGAGAGAAGGGCCTGAGTATGTGAGGACTGGCCCAGGTGCCAGCAAGGCAGCAAGCCAAATTCACGTTCTTTCCCACCCAGCCTCGGTGGAATGGCTGTAGAGAAACGGTGGAATTGGTGCTCATGGTGCCTAGGCTGTTCCCTGTTTCATTCTGAGTCTCATCTTAGCGATGGCCTGTCAACCCCTTGAGTGAAGGTCCTAGGCTGGACCCTTGGAGCCCCATGCTGCTGGACACCCCACCAGAGATAGATGGATGCCTCATGCTGGCTGCATGGTGGGAGGCGCCTCCCCACAGAAGGAAGGCTGGTCCAGGCCTGGTGGTGAGAGCAGGGCCTAGCAGTGCTCTACTCCGCAGCCATCAGCTCCTGGGGCCCTCTGGAAGTTTGCTGAGCATCTCAGCCCAGTGTGAGGGGTGTGCAGGGGTGGGGATGATGCAGGCTCTGCCCACAGAGGCTTGCAGTCTCAGGGCAGACAGCCTACAAAATGGAGACCCCCATCACGTGGTCTGCAGACTGACGGGGAGGTGAGGCTGGACTATAGGCCAGGAGACCCCAAACCAGTCCAAGGGGCAAGAGGAGTCTAGTGGGGAGCAACGTCATAGGCAGAGTGAGGTGGATGAAGGGGCATGGAGGACAAGGCATGGAGGCTGCTGTGTGTCTAGTGAAAGGGTTTGGATTTTGCCCTAAGGGTAGGGGAGTGACATGGTCAGACCAACCTCTTCCAACCATGTTCGGGGAATGGACCATGGGAGACGTGAGAGGTTGTGGGCACCAGGCAGGCAAGAGGCAGGGGGTCTGGATGAGGTGTTGGGGATGGCATGGGGAGAAGCCAGGGCTGCTCCTGGGTACAGGTGGGAAGGAAGAGGCTGAGAGGTGGGGCTGGCCTGAGAGCCTGTGGACATGGTGAGTGAGGGTCCTGATGGAGCAGGGGAGGTAGTGCCAGGAGCTGAAGGGTCTCCCCCAAACCAATGCAAGAGAAGTGGCCCACTGGTGATTAGAATCCAGCTCTGACTTCACAGCTTGTGATCTTTCCACAGCATCTCAGTAGACCTGATGTCCAGTGGAGGCCTGGGAGTCCCCTCTTCCCTTTGGCTCTGCTGAGCCCTGCGGGTCTCCTGGGAGCCCAGACAACAGCTCACCCACCCTTTCCTGCCACCCCATCCCATTCCTTACGGTGAAGACCAGTTCGGTCATGGACAACCTGTCCAGGCTGCAGTCGAGGTACTGAATCCTCTGGCTCAGTTTTTCTTTCCAAGTTTGGACGAAGCCGAGGAGTTCTTCTGTGGTCACCGTCTAGTGAGAACAGGGAGGAAGAAGGCCCCAGGGAAGCAGACTGCAGGAGGATGGGCAGATTCTGTGGGAACTGCAGGAACAGGGGCTGGGCTGGTGAGGATCAAGCCTCTTGGCTTAATGGAGGCTCCTCACGTGCAGGGAGGGCCCTGGGGAGTGGGGAAGGCTGGGCTGGCTCTGCTGGCGGTCTTTACTTCACAGTGAAGGACAGTGCATCCTTCACTGATGGGGACATCGGTTGCTCTCTTCCTGGATCTACAGGTTCAACGCCGGGCAAATGACTTAAACTTGCTCAACGTGGTCTCCCCATCTGTAAGATGGGGACACAAAATATTCCCTTGGATCTTCTCTGGCTCTAACATTCTATGTTTAGAAGGAAATATTTGATCCAGGTGGCAAGGGTGTGTAGGAGTGTGTAGGAGAGTGATCTGGGCATCTCCATGGCAACATCTAACACGCACCCCCTCGGAGCAGCACCCCACAGGTGTGCAGGAATGTGACTGCAAGGATCTTCCCTCTCGCCACATATTCAGGGCATCACTCTTGTCCCCTGATCACTGCTTTGCAGACTGTCCAGCCAGCCTCCTCCATCAACACAGGAATGCCTGCACACCCATACTCACATGCTCCTCACCTGGCTGGAAGGCTGGGCAGCCCCTGGCACCCACGCAACACCCTAACAGGAGAGGACAGAGCAGGGGTTGGGAGGTGGGGATGTGAGAGACTGGACGTTTCTGTTATGGAGAGGCAGAGCTGCCTTAAAGAGCCTGTTAAAGTCACAGCTGATTAACCGCATTTTCCCCCTGCTCCCCATTTAGGGGGCTCACAAGGGAGACCAGGTAAGTCACGGACAAAATATAGGGACCACCTTTCCTCTGCACATCTGCACTGCAGGGCAAGTAATCTCAGTGGATGTGTAGAAACATGTGCATGCATATACATAAGCGGGTTTAGAGGGCCTCTGTGGAAAATGAGAATAGTGAGAGGGACATTTATTCTACAAACTATGCTTTGTGAGTGTTTACACTTTTTTCAAGAGTCATGCAATATACTATACAAGAAAAAGCAATAAAGACAAAAAAATAGATGTGCTGTCAGTGCTAACAATAGAACTGCAACTCAGAGTCACTGAAATGGTGGAGAAAAGACAGGGAATGGTGAGGAGGAAGCTTCCCACTCCTGAACCTTCAGGCTGGGGTGTCTGGTTCTGGGAGCACCTGGCTGGGCTGCTGAGGAAAGGTTCCCTGGAGTGGCCTGGGTGACAGGCCAGGGAAGACCGAACGGAGCAAGTTTAAGTCATTTGCCCGGAGTTGAAGCCGCAGATCCAGGAAGAGAACTCCCGGGGTCCCCGTCAGTGACGGATGCGCTGTCCTTCACTGTGCAGAGTGGGGGATAGAGTTGTGCACTCATGGCAGAAAAACAAGCACGTAGACACCCAGAACCTGCTCTGAGGATCAGGGCCTGGTAAATGCTTGGAATCACGCTCCCCTCAAACTCTGCTCCAATTCTGACTCTCCATACTTTAAACAGAGAAAACCAGTTTCTGTGCTACGATCAAAGGAAGCAAGTAGGACCAGATGTGGCGGCTCACTCCTGTAATCCTAGCACTTTGGGAGGCCAAGGCAGGCAGATCACTTGAAGTCAGGAGTTTGAGACCAGCATGACCAATGTGGTGAAATCCTGTCTCTACTAAAAATATAAAAATTAGCCAGTGTGGTGGCGGGTGCCTGTAGCCCCTGCTACTCAGGAGGCTGAGACAGGAGAATCACTTGAACACTGGAGCTGGAGGTTGCAGTAAACTGAGATTGTGCCACTGCACACTGCACTCCAGCCTGGGTGACAGAGCGAAACTCAGTCTCAAAAAAAAAAAAAAAAAAAAAAGAAGCAAGTGGAAAGTCAAACAAAAAGTGGTTGTTCATGGGGCAGGGCCCTGCTTCTGTCATGCGTCCGGAACTGAGTTCTCCTTACAGCAAGGGACACCTAGTGACATCCCAAGGGAGTGAGGTCAGAGGAAGCCAGACTCAGGCATCCCCCATCACTAGACGCTGCTCCATGCCTACCTGGGAGGGGTTGGGGGTGGAGAACAGTGGCTGCTTTCTCTTCTGTTCCTTTCTTCATTCCATGAAACAGGGGTTAAGTAGGAAGGCTCAGAGATGTCCCTGCCCCACCCCACCAACCTTGTGCTGGAGAAATCCTGTACACACATGGAAGTTTATTTCAAGTTTATGATTCTAGCGTGATACATCTTTATTATTCACATGCAGGATCTATTGAACACTTACGGTTTTCTCTCCCCTGGACTCTTGACAAGTTTTGATCTTGCTCTGAAGCTGTTGCAGAGAGAAATTTAATCCATTTGTTTGTGAATTGGATTTGGCCACCTAGAAAACGAGAGGTTCTGAGATTTTGTTTCTAGAATGCATATTGTGATCTGGGAAATGTTTGGTGAAACATACCATCTGAGAAACTGATTAAGCACTGAAAAAAAATGAAATCAGGGGAAGATATGCAGTTTTACTGCATTGAAACAATTTTTCCCCCTCTCAAATAAGTAAGGTTCAAGCAAAATTGGTACCCCATAGTGCGGTGAGGAAGCTGGGAGACCAGGCTCCGCTCCAGCAGTGCAGGGCCAAGGCTGTAGAAACTCCCTGGAGAGCTTAGAGAACTGTGGAAAGGTCATGCTCTGACCCAGGACTATGGCTTCCAGGAGCCATCCTAAGGATGTGGTCAGATTGTCCTGGCAAGGGCACTTTTCACAGTACCACCTTTCATAACAAGAAGCGAAATTCACCAAATTTTTTTCCAGAAAGGAATGCTTAAGTAAAAACGTCAACACATTCATGACAGAGAAGCCATCAAAACAGTGTCTTTGCAGAATATTTAAAGATTATACAGCTTATAAAACTCGTGTAAATAGCAAGCAGCCAATTTTAGTATATCCCCATCTTTTCATGTATAGAAAAAAAGCTTAAAAATAAATCAAAATCTTAAACAGGGGTTATGCTATGTGGTAGAATTATGGATTATTCTGTTATGTATTTGTTATATATTTCCAATATTGTCCATGATGGAAATGTATTTTGTTTATCATAGGTGTTAGATATTTTGAAATGCAAACCTTGTACCCTGTGAACAGTCCCCAAATATCAGCTCAGAAAAAAGAATCGGTGCCAGCACCAGCTGGAAGCTCATTAGGAATATGCTCCTCAAACAAGAGTACGGTTACATGCCCTGGAGCTGTGGGCTCTGCTCCTTGCTGCTACCTCCTGTTCCTTCTGGAATGACTGAGAGGTTCTTCTGGGGCCTCTACCAGAGCCTGCCTTCACTGAGGATTCACTATGCTCCAGGGACTATGTTACCAGTTTGGCACATATCAGCTCATTTATTGGTGCCATGATATTAGGAATTGCTTTTATGATTCCCATTTCATAGATGGATGAATTAAACACTTCCTGGGGCAAAAGGGGGCAGGAGGCTAGGACTAGAGTGCCTGTCTCAGAGCCTGAGAGATGCCAGCAAACCCTTCTTTTATCAAATCGCATTTGCCACTCTCAAAAGACAGGTCTGTCTTCCTCAGCTCAGTTTGTCCTAGCCCCAGTGGGTCCTCAAACATTGTTCCCTGAATGGGCATTGACCTACACAGATAATTCAGGCCCTTCGTTTCCAGTGTACCCCAAGTCTCACCCATCCCACTTCCACTCAGCTCTGGAATCAGAATGTGTCCCAGGTGACTTTATGCCCAGGCCAGATTCTCTCCCACTCGGCCTCCCACTTCTGCCTCCACACCTACCCACCTCCAGCCTTTCTGTGGCCAGCAGCCAGGACCCCACACCCTCCAAGTGCAGTCCTGAGCAGATGGTCCCACCCAAACCCACCCCAGGCCCCACTGCCTGCCAGCTGGTGCTCTCCAAACACAGAGCTTCCCACTTCCTCCCTCACACTCTTGCAGTCCTGGTCTCCAGCCCCCTGGATTTTCTCCATCACACTTCACTTCCCACTGCCTACCTGGCTGGCTCCTACTTCTCTGGCAAGCCTCTGGAAGCCCCCCTTCTTAGTCCAGGTTAAGTCTTCGTCTCTGAGCCCCTTCATCCTCACGGAGCCACCTTATCCTTCTGTTGCACAGATGGTCTGTTTGTGGTTATGGCCATAAGCTCTGGTGTCGGTCAGACCTGGGTTCACGTTTTGACTTTACCCTTCAAGAGCTCTGTCTTCCTACCTAAGTCACTAAAATGCTCCTCAGTTTATCTCTACAATGGGGATAAAAACAGTACTTGCCTCCCATAGCTCTTATGAGGACCAAGACAGCTAATTGAAATAAGTTGGTTAGCAGGATGCATGGTGCTCAATAGCTAGTAAATATCTGCAGTTATTAAGATTTCATTTTTGGCCAAGCGCAGTGGCTCACGTCTGTATTCCCAGCACTTTGGGAAGTTGAGACAGGAGGATCGCTTGAGCCCAGGTATCCGAGACCAGTCTGGGCAACATAGGGAGGCCCCATCTCTACAAAAAATAGAAAAAAATTAGCTGGGCATGGTGGTATGTGACTGCTGGCTGGAACTGCCAGCTACTTGTGGGGCTGAGGTTGGAGGATCGCTTGACCCCTGGGAGTAGAGGCTGCAGTGAGCTGTGTTCACACCACTGCACTCCAGCCTGGGTCAGAGTGAGACCCTGTCTCAAAAAAAAAAAAAAAAAAATTGTGTCTGTCTTCCTGGCTTAAGAGCAAGTCCCACACACATGACAGAGACCACACGGCCTCCCAGCACCCGGGACAGTGCCTAGTGTGCAGGTGTGTGTGATAAAGATCCTTGATGAAGAATGAATCTATCCTACCTGGCACTTGATGTTCACTTGCAGATTTGTCAGCAACCGCTGGATTTTCTCTATGAAAATAAGGTCCACAGACAGGTTACGGAATTTGCTTTCAAACTTGTTGATGACATCATTGGCCTGTACAGAGAGATAAAGGGTAAAGGACAGGGGCTTAATCTGGACCTTTTGGACTCTGAAAGAGGAAGGGGACAGGCCCAGTGAATGTTTGGATGAGGGCTTGGCCCTCCCTTCAGAGGGAGCTGAGCAAGGGATACTGCAGAAGGGGTTGGCCTGGGGCCTGGCTGGGGGCCCCACCTGGTCCAGGTACTCATTCTCCATCTTCTCCATGTTGACCATGATTATACTTTCAACTAACTCTATCCGGGCGGTTTCCTTCTCCAGTCGACGACACAGTGAATTGACTTCTTTAGGAGAAAAGTTGCCTCCCTCTGAAAACAATCTGAAAATAATCAGAGAGAAATAAAAGCCACAGATCAGACCTGAGAGTTCCCATCTCTCCCCAATACTGTGGCTAACATATACTTTTAATCTAGGCTTCAGGTTAGAGTTCGAGACGATGGGAAAACGAGTGCAGATGGCTTAAGGACAGGAGTAGGATTCATCAACAGTGCGAATCTCTGTTTTTGTCAGTTTGTCAGGTTGGAGGCCTTAATAGACCCAACTGAAACAAAATTCAAAATAAAAATAGTTTTAGAATTAAAATCTGCGTAAAGGTAAGAATTCTTCATGAACCAGCTAGGTGCAGTGGCTCAGGCCTGTAATCCCAGCAGTTTGGGAGGCTGAGGCAGGCGAATTACTTGAGGCCAGGAGTTCAAGATTAGCCTGGGCAACATAGCACAACCCTGTCTCTATAAAAAGTAAAAAAAATTAGCCAGGTGTGGTGGCATGCACCTATGATTCCAGCTACTTGATGAAGATGGATTTCTTGAGCCCAGGAGGCAGTGGTTGCAGTGAGCTGGGATTGCACCACTGCACTCTACCCTGGGTGACAGAGTAAGACTCTTAAAAAAAAAGAAAAGAATTCCAGATGAAGTGAAACTAGAAGGGACCTTGGAATGTGGGTGGCACCAGAAGCCAAAACTTTGCACCAGAGACTTGGAGTTCAGTCTTGATGACTGCACAGGTGACGGGATAGCCTGGAACTGGATGCACAGGACAAACCTTGCATTATGAGACCAAGGAAGAAACGAGCCCCACCAGATTCCAGGACTCTCTCCTGTCTAGATCCGAGGGCAAGGAAGAAAGAAAAGATATCTCTCCCCTGAAAATTCATCACACAAACTAGACTTCACATACGTTTACAAACTGAATTCATATTCTCTGGAGTGACCCAAAAAAAACTCAGAGAATTCTAATTGGTCCTGGGTAGGTAGTACCCCCTTGGCTACCCAGCAGAAACAAATAAGGATTCTCTCTGAAGGAATGCAATGTCCAGTCCAGGCCTCAAAGAATGCCACAGATGAAGTCCCAAAGAAAATGAGTGACTCGTAGTTTGAAAAATTGCTAAGGAAACAAGATACACGATACCATACATGAGAACCAGTAAAACAATAGAGAACAGAAACAGACCTCCCACAAAACCCTCAGATATTAGAAATATCTGATATAAACTACAAAGTAACTAGGCTTAAGATGTTTAGAGAAATAAAAAGCTTCAAAATATGAGGAAGGAACAGGCAGTTTTGAAAAAGTATCAAATATAACTACAAATGGGCCAAGCGTGGTGGCTCACACCTATAATCCCAGCACTTTGGGAGGCCGAGGCAGGTGGATGATTTGAAGTCAGGAGTTCAAGACCAGCTTGGCCAATATGGTGAAGCCCTGTCTCTATTAAAAATACAAAAATTAGCTGGGCATGGTGGCGCATGCCTGTACTACTCGGGATGCTGAGGCAGAAGAATAGCTTGAACCCAGGAGGTGAAGGTTGCAGTGAGCTGAGATCATGCCACTGCCCTCCAACCCGGTTGAGAGAGAAAGAATGTCTCAAAAAATTTTTTATATGTATATATATTTTTATATGTATATATTTTTGTATGTATATACATATATATACCTGTATGTATACACAAATGGAAACTACAATAATTAAAATTGAAAACTCAGTGAATAGATTTGCGGGGGGAGGGTTCAACACAGTGACAGAATGAATTAGTGACTAGGAAGAATAATATAAAGAAATGAGCTAGAATGAAGCTAAAATATGCAAGACTGATGTAGAGATAGGCAAGGTAGAGATGATTAACATGTCAAATTATAGTTTTAGTTTCTGCTACTTTCCAAATTTTCATTAAAAAATCTATATAATCAGAAAAATCTTAATAATATTTAAAACAAATGCAAGCTTTGCAGATACTGACATGGAAGGTGACCACTGCTAGGGCTCACAGAATGATACACAAAAATGTGCTGCTTTAAACTTCAAACTGAGAGTACCTGGGGGGCATTAAATGCAGGGAAGAGATTTCTCTAAAGTTCGCCTATCAGCCTAAGGCTGGATCCTCCAGAAGATACTCAACTGTTGTGAACCCCTTCCCCAGAGATCTCATCCACCAGGAGAAACGGATGCATAGTTGCAGGAAGGAAGACTGGAGTTGACACCGTGCCCAGAGCCCGGACGGAATTGGTCCCAGGCTATTGTCTGTTCTTTGGGTCCATTAATCTCCCTAAACATCATTTTCTCTTCCTCTAAAATTTTCTATATCTCCTATTTCTCACTCCCTTCTGAAGAGGATATTTAAGCTTCAACTATCTGGCCTCTGTTTGAGTTTCAAACTTTGTGTGACTCCTAAACACTTGCATATTAATAAATTGGTGTGCCTTTTTCCCGTTAATCTGTTTATTGTCTTTTTTTTTGAGATGGAGTCTTGCTCTGTCTCCCAGGCTGGAGAGTACAGTGGTGTGATCTCAGCTCATGGAAACCTCTACCTCCCAGGTTCAAGTGATTCTCTTACCTCAACCTCCCAAGTAGCTGGGATTACAGGCTCCCACCACCACTCTGAGCTAATTTTTGTATTTTTAGTAGAGATGGGGTTTCTCCATGTTGGCCAGGCTGGTCTCAAACTCCTGACCTCAGGTGATCTGCTGGCCTCTGACTGCCAAAATGCTGGGATTACAGGCATGAGCCACCACACCTGACCTTGTTTTATTGGCTCAAATTGTTGAAACTTCAGGGGTGGAAAGGAAATTCCTTTAGTCCCTATATCACCTTGGTTTGGTGACGGTGGTAGTGGGGACTGCGGGTCAGCATGTGTACTAGGATTCCATTTCTGTACAATACTATCAATTTTTTGCTCATGTATACATAAGTACAGGCACATAGAAAATATATTTTTGGAGGGCTTCCACTTTGTACTTTACATAAAATCTGTGTTTGATTATGCTATAATGATTAAAAGATTTGTGATTTTTAAAATAGCATAAGCCTTAAAAAATAAATATCACCTTCATAAGTGTCAAAGACTAAATCCAGTATTACTGTCATGTAGGTCTAAGATTGCAGGAGTAAAAATAAGGGGAAAGAATGGCCAATAAACACACGGAAAGGTTAACATCATTAATCGTCAAGGAAATGCAAATCAAAACCACAGCATAGTACCACTTCACATCCATTAAGAGGTCTATTATAAAAAACAAGAAATGCCAGAAAGTAACAGCATTGGTGTTAATGTAGAAAAATTGGAACCCTTGTGCACTGCTGGTGAGAATTAATCTGGCGCAGCTGCTGTAGAAACAGTATGATGGTTCCTCTGAAAACTAAACGTAGAATTACCATTTAATTCAGCAATACCCAAAATAATTAAAACCAGGACCTTGAACAGGTATTTGTACACCAATGTTCCTAACACCATTATTCACAATAGTCAAAAGATGGAAACAACCCAAATGCCCATCAACGGATGAATGGGTAAACAAAATGTGATATATGCATACAATGGAACATTATTCAGCCTTAAAAAGGAATAATTTTGTGACACATGATACAACACGGATGAACCTTGAAGACACTATGCTAAATGAAATAAGCCAGACAAGAAAAGGACAAATATATGATTCCACTTATATGAGGTACCTAGAGGTTTCAAATTCACAGAAACACAAAGCAGGATGGCGGTTGCCAGGGACTGTGGGGAGAGAGGAATGGGGAGTTCTTGTTAATGGTACAGAGTTTCAGTTTGGGAAGATGAAAAAGCTCTGGTGACCAATGGTGGTGATGGTAGCACAACAACCAGGATATCCTTAATGCCACTGATCCGTGCACCTAAAAATGGTTAAGACAGTAAGTTTGAGGTTATGTATATTTTGTCAAAATTAAAAATTAAGGGAGAAACAAGCCCACATCCCAACAGAGAAACTCAGGTGGCCTGAAGAGGTCCTGGACAATGGCTCCCACCTGCAGTGTTTGATGAACTCAATATTTGAGGAGTGGAGTTTGCCCAGACTCTCCTCCAAGTACTGCCGGAAGCTGCGGAGGGACACCTGGGTGACATCGACATAGCTAAGCAACTCCCGGTGCAGTGTGTTGCTGAGAATGGCCAGCCTGTAGGAGACAGAGGAGGCACAGGACAGTGATGGGGGACAACCCTGGGGGATGTGGGAGGGGCAGGTGGGGATGGTGACCAGCCTGGGGGATGTGGGAGGGGCAGGTGGGGATGGTGACCAGCCTGGGGGATGTGGGAGGGGCAGGTGGGGATGATGACCATCCTGGGGGACACAGGAGGGACAGGTGGTGGTGGTGACTACCCTGGGTGACAAGGGAGGGGCAGGTCATGATAATGATGAGCCTGGGGACACAGGAGGGACAGGTGGGGATGGTGACCAGCCTGGGGACATGGGAGGGGCGGGTGGTGATCGGTGACCTTCTTGGGGTGGGCATGAGAGGGCAGGGTAGTGACCTGGGCCTGGAAAGAGGACATTCTGGGAGTCTATTTGGGCTCCATAAGCTGTGCCCACCTGCCCAGCTCCTCTGGGTAGCAAAAGGGGCAGAAGAAGGAAGTTCAAAATGCCAGTGTCTGCAGAATGTCACGGATCAGAGAGGATTCTTCTCTCTCTGACCTTTGCCATCAAATTAGTGAAAGAATCCCAGAAGATCCTGCTGGATCTTTGTCCCTGCTCCAGTGGGCTGTGTCTGACCCCCAGCAAGGTGGTTCCTGCACCTGTGATCCCCCAAAAGATTGCCCTGTGTGTCCTCTTTATAACCAAGTCCACCAGAACCAGCTGTCCCTCATGTACCTGATGGCTGTGTAGACACTTGCCAGCCTCCTCCCTGTGACCTGCCTGAGGCTTCCATCTTACATCCCAAATGGCCTCTCTAGAGCCCCTTGCTGAGTGTGCTCTGGCCTGAGCACACTCCTGCACTGAGCTGGGCCAGCGCTCTTTCCCTGATTTCGGAACTCAACCCTCTCCCATCTTTCTCCATTCAGGGCTCCTCTGAGTTCATCTTCAATGCTGTCTCCTTCAGGAAACCCTCCCTGATTTTCCCTTAGGGGACATGATCTTCCCCACCACTGATATTTCATAGCACATGGTTTGCACCCTTGCATGGTGCTTGTGTGTATTCTTTGCTCTCTGGCTGCTCATTCCCTGTCTTCCCAAGCAATATTCCACAGAGTTTGACTTGACTCTCTTGAAGAGTTTAACTCAAAGAAGCCTCTGGAGGTGTCTTCTGCTCCTGTGTCTGCAGGGAGGGTGGCTCCTTTGAAAACATCAGCCTAGCTGGGATTCCAGAGCCACATAGCTAGGATGGAGACTCCCAGGACCCCTTACTTTTGGCTCCTGGTGGCATTCAAGAAGATGTGTTCCATGTCATATATCTTGAGGCGGAAGTTTTTGCTCCTCATGTTTTGCTCTTCTTGGAATTGGCAGAACATCAGCCTCTCCTTCTTCAGTGTCTCGGTCACCCCAGCACAGTGGCTGTCCAATCGCTCTTGATGAAGCAAGAGCTCGGCTGAAAAAGGATTAGGAGAGCTGGGGCCCCTGGGACCTGACTCACCTCAACACACTGCTTTCCTGGAACAAGGCCCGCCTGCTGCCTCTCCCAGGCCAGCTGAAGAACAGGAATGATTTAGGTCAAGGGCCCCTGTCCTGCCCCTGTTGCCTTCATCAGAGCTTGGGCTAGAGAGGAGGCCTGGCCATGAGCAGGGAGCTCCTGTTCGTGGAGACACCCTGCCCAGAGCAGAGGGAACAAAGCCAGGGAGATGGAGAGTCTGGGGAGCAGCCAAGCAGCAGGCAGGTTGCACAGGGGGCACTGCGGAAGGGTGAGAGATCTAGGTGAGAGGGTCTGCGGGGGTAACAGCAAGTACAGTACTGAGCAGTCTGGGTTTGCTTCTTTATATCAGCAGATACTAATGTCCAGTGAGCCTGAATTCAAACTGTCTTCCAAGGTGGACTGGCAAGAACAAGGACTGGGCTTCCAGGGCTCCATCACAGGCCTTTAGATGAGCAGAGAGTCCCTAGACCCCACGCTGTTCCCCATCTGACCCCACTATCATCTGAAGTGGGAGAAGTGCTGTGGTCCCAGCGCTGCCAAAAATGAATGGTGTGAAGCTGGGACTTCACTTCTCTGGCCTTGTTTTCCTCGCTGTATATGGGGCCAGGGGGCCTGGGAAGGAAAGGGAGCCAGTCTTCAGGGAGCTTCTACTCAGTGCATGTAGAATCCTTTTTATTCCTCAGTGCATTTAGCACACACATTTTCCAGATGAGAACGATGAGGTTCCAAATGCCACACAAGTTGCCTGAGCCCACAAGCACTGGGATTCGAGGCCAGTTGTCAACTTGCACAACGGTTTCCCTGCTCCAGGAATAGAAGTCTGCATGGGTTCATGACAGGGCTGTCTGAAAATGGGCTTTGAAGGAGTTGGAGTATAATTTGGGTGAAAAACCAACAGAGGTCATTGAACGATCCTATTGAAAACATGCCCCCCCCCATTAACAGAGCTCACCATGTAGGTGTGCAATGCGTGTCTTTTTAAGTATGATAAATGATAAAGTAGGAATAATGGCTGCCACTTTTAGAGGCTGTATCTTGTACCAGGTGCTCATGATTCCTTAGCATACCATTTAAAGAGGGGTTATTACCAGCTCCTTAACACCTCCATCAACCCCTTCTGCAGGTAAGAGAGGGGTCAGAGAGGTCAGGTAACCTGTACAGGGTCACACGGTCACAGGAGTTGAGACTGAGAGCTCTAATCCTTGAGCTATGAGCTTGCCTCTAGAACATCCACCATGCAGGTGTATATCTGACAGATGTATGAGCAGATCTGGGGTCCAAGAGCTAAAACAGTACAACACTCTTCATTTTCAACTCTAACACCCTCTTGAAAAAAAATGGAAATGAAAAAAAACTATCTCACAGGAGGATTCTGAGTACTACCTTTCTCTGCAAGCCCAGAAGGTAAGAACCCTCATGAACACCTTCCATGGTGTGATGAGAACATGCTAAACGCTGCATGGTACAAACTGGGGCAACTAATGAAGACAGAGCCTCGGTGGAGCAGGCACTGAAGGAGGGGCTGGGGGCAGGGCAGACCTTCCCAGGCAGCATCTGTACCTGCCCTGACATTGTGGATATCCTTTTCAATCTGCTGGGCTCTTGGCTGGTGCAGGTGTAGACGCAGCTCCAGTTCTGAATCCAGCTCATCGATCTTGGTGGCCACGATGACCCGGGTGTTGAGTGAACACTGGTCAAACCACTTCTCAAGGTGCTCAAAGAAGCCAGCTCGAAGTCTGAGGGAGAGACCAGCCAGGGTCAGCCCTGCCAGCAGTCATGGCCCATGAAAAGTCTTTACATGTGGAGACCCAAAGTGCTTCCCCCTTTTGCTCCTTCCTCATTTCATTTCCCAACTACATTGCATTTCATCACGTAAATGGACCATTGCTCGTTTAACTGTACTACTGCTGGAGAACATTACATATGCCAGATGTAGAAGTGTTTCTTTGGATAAGTGACCTCGAACTGGAATTGCTGAATCAAAGATTAAAATACATTTGTGGTTTCGGTAGATATGGCCAAACAGTTTCCACTGGAAAGCAAGTTGTATTCCCATCAGCAATGAATAATAATAGTTCCTGTTTCTCCACAGTCTCAGAGTGTATTGTCAGACTTCCAAATTTGACAATTTTGTCATATTATGATTGAGACTGAGCTTATTTCATGTGTTTAAGATTATTTAGTCTGGGTGCTGTGGCTCATGCCTATAATCCCAGCACTTTGGGAGACTGAAGCAGGAGGATTGCTTGAACCTAGGAGTTCGAAACCAGCCTGGACAACATGGTGAGAACTCACCTCTACAAAATACTTCAAAAATTAGCTGGGCATGGTGACATGTTCCTAAGGTCCCATCTACTCAGTAGGTCAAGGCTGCAGTGAGTCACACCACTGAACTCCAGCCTGGGTAACAGAGTGAGACCCTGCCTCAAAACAAAAAAAAACAAAGCAAAATGAAACAACAAAAACCAAGAGTATTTAATTTATCTTTCTGTGTACTGTCCCTGAACGTCTTGCCCATTTCTCTGTTGTGAATAGCTGGTTTTTTTTTTTACAAATCAGTTTCTAGGAGCTCTTCATATATTGGGGACATGAGGCTCATTGACTTTGATGTAAGTTGCAAATATTGTTTCTCAGCAGAAATTATTTAGAAGAAAGAAATTATTGTTTCCTCTTTTTAAAAATTTATGGTGTTTTTTTGGCCATGTATTTTTAGGGATGTCAGTTTCCAAAAACTGGTCTATAGATTCAATGCAATAACAAGAAACAACATAGCAGCAGACATCTTCTTATGGAAACTTGAGCTAATTAAATAATGTATGTAGAAATACAAAGGGCCAAGAGTAATGGAGGGAGAAGACTAAAGCTAGAGGACTTACACTATCAGGTATTAAGACTTAGTGTAAAGCTGTGGTGATCAAGCAGCGTGAAGTCATTGGATAGACACACAGAGAACTGGAAAAGACATGTGGCAGAGAAGTAGGGGAGAGGAGAGTCTCCTCATTAAGTGACCCAGGATCAACGGGTTATCTATATGGGAAAGAAATGGATCTTGACCCCTATTTCACATGATAAACAAAAATCAATACCAGGTGGATTGTAGATGTTAATATGGAAGTTGAAAACAATGACATTTTAAATATATAACATTGGAGAACATCTCCATGTCTTTGGGGGCAGGCAAAAATTTCTTAGATAAGGCAAAAAGTAAATTAACCCTAAGATAAAAATTGACAAATTGGACCTTATTAGAAATAAGAACTTATGTTCATCAAAAGATATACCTTGAAAGAGAGTAAAAAAGGCAAGCACAGAGAGAAGATGAACATTCACCATTTATTTACCTGACAAAGCCTCATACAGAATATATAATTCAATTTTTTTTTGCTTGTTTGAGATGGAGTCTCACTCTGTCTCCCAGTCTGGAGTGCAGCAGCACTATCTTGGTTCACTGTAACCTCTGCCTCCTGGGTTCAGGCAATTCTCCTGCCTTAGCCTCCCAAATAGCTGGGATTACAGGCATGCACCACCACGCCTGGCTATAGAATATATAATTAATTCCCATAAATTAATAAGAAAAAGGACAGACAATCGACCAGAAAAATAATAGGCAAAAGATTTTGCTAGGCATTTCACAAAAAGATAACCAAATGGCCCAATGAGTATTTTAAAAGGTATACAATCGCACTACTCATCAGGAGAATACATATTAAAACCACAACAAAACACCACTATAATTACACCAGAACAGCTAAAATAAAAACCACTGACAATACCACTGAGGTTGTGGAACAACTGAAGTTCTCATACGCTGTTGTAAACTGTAAAACTGTTAAAACCACTTTTGAAAACTCCTTGGTAGTATCTTTTGGCCATATCACCTAAAGATGGATATGGACACGCATTCTATAAGTCAACAGTTCCAGTTTTAGTTGCATATGTAACAGAAATGTATATGTATAGTCACCAGAAGACTTGTACAAGAATGTTCGGAGCAACATTATTGGTATATGGCCAAATTGGAAAGACCAAATGTGTATCAGTAAAGTGGATTAATAAAATAGATTACATTTTTTTATAATGGGATACCATACAGAAATAAAAACTCATCTCTAGCCACATTCAAGAATATATATATCTCATAAACATAATAAAGGAGTGAGTTCTGTATGACTTAACATAGGTAAAATTCAAAAATAGCAAAATGAACTCAGAAGTTATAATATTTGTTATCTTTGGGGAAGAGATAGTGGTGACTTGGGATGGGTACGCTAAGTGGGTTAGGGTTGGTAATGGTTCTATTTCTTGTGGGCTTAGCGTATCAACTGTATCCTATTTGGGCAATTCATTGGGCTATACACCTATGACTTTCATACTTTTATAAATGCATATTATTCCTCAGTATGCAAACCTAATTAGTTGGACAGATAAATTGTTTTCTGGTTAGTTATAAGGCCAGATGGCATAGTGGCTGGTGCAAGATTCTGGAGTTACAGGGTCTGTCTGGATTCATATCCTGGATCAAACTGCTTTCTGTCCTGGAGATCTAGGCCAAATGACTAACTCTCTGAACCTCAGTTTCCTCATCTGTAAATGGAGTTAGTTATGGTACCTCTCTCACAGTTATTAAGGGGATTTAAATACATTCAGTAAATAATAGCTTCTGTGGTAGTCCTTGCTGACCTTTGTCCTGTCTGCTATGGAGAGGGCAGATGATGGCCTCTCCATGTGTTAGAGGAAGGAGAAGGATGACATTTGAGTCAAGAGACATTTCCAAGGTGAGATGCTGCTGAGGTGTAGGAGAAAAAGCCAAGAGGCCTGACTGCACTCCTTTCATCCTTATCTCTGCCCTCCTGCCCATGTATACATATGGGAGGTAAATGAACCAGGAGATCTCTAGCTGATGAGTCCTCCCCTCCTATGACACTGTATAGGCAGGAGGACAATGAGAATGTCATCCAAAAGGCAAACACATATGTCCACATTTGATCCAAACTCAAACACAAAGGCCCAGAAACTTGGGAGTTAGGAGAAGTAAATTATCTGTGGTAGGATTATGGGTCATTTCTCTGTTCTTCATTGTTCTTGTATTTTCTGCAATGAAACTCTTTGGTAGTATCTAGTGATGGACATGAACACACTCTATGAGTGAACAGTGCCATTCTTATATTTTGCACATATCGAGTACAAAATGTCATATGTGATATATTTATATGTATGGTGTATATCTATAGAGTTAAAATAGAAAAAGAAAAGAAACCTTAAGATTACAGATGTTCCAGGAACTAGAACCCAGAAGTATCTGGCAGGGAAAATACTATATCTCATGTCCAAGGCCCAAGCCAGCAGAGAGCCTCCTGAGGTGGGTGCAGGGGATCACTCTTACAGAAGATATCTGTGTCTGCAAATAATTCCTGGATTTTGCTATTTTTTATCGTGTTTCTCACCCCTACCTTACTTCAGTTACCTACAATTTTTTCTTTATCCAACTGGGACTTTTTTTTTCACAATATTTCACCTTGCTAACAAAACTCAGAACAATAGGATAAGAATAAAATAGTTTTCTACTCACTGTTTCTTAATTTCTAAAATTAGTCTCGATGGAATTGTCACTTGTTCTATGAACTTGGCACTGGAAGTGTCATCGATGAACATGGCTGAGAAGATGGAATGAGACTTCCTGCAATGCTCTTCTTCTTCCAGGGGTATGAAGACAAAATAAGTGTTTCCACTGGAGGTTGTGAAGGACTCCATGTCCTCATAGTATATCTCCACCAGACTCTCTTCCTTGTCTTCATCCTAAGCAGGCAACAAGACTAAAGTTGACTTGAAATACAGGAAATTATTCTTCTGCGATTCTATGATTATGAAATTAAAGTAATTGTTCTGTGATTTTGAATGTGTTTTGAGGACAAGATTTATTTATGAGAGTTACTTCCTTGCACTCAAAGGAGAGCTCTGTCTGCCAGCTTGGATATGGAGCTTTTGAAAACAGAAAGAGAGAAGAAATAAATAGGCCGAGGTGAAGCAAGAGAGTCTAAGTTGATCTATTCAATAAAGAGGAATTCAGAAGGAGAGAGAACCAGGGAGGGTTAAGGAAAGCCATACAAAGTCACGAAGAGTAACTTTAGAGTAGGTTGCAGGGACATGAGGAGAGGAAAGTGAATTTTAGAAAGCACTGCTGTGGCTGGGTGCAGTGGCTTACACCCTTACACCGGTAATCCCAGCACTTTGGGAAACTAAGGCAGTGGATCATTTAAGATCATGAGTTCAACAGGTGAAACTCTGTCTCTACTAAAAATACAAAAATTAGCTGGGTGTGGTGGCAGGCACCTGTAGTCCCAGCTACTTTGGAGGCTGAGGCAGGAGAATAGCTTGAACTTGGGAGGTGGTAGGAGCCGAGATCACACCATTGCACTCCAGCCTGACTGACAGAGTGAGACTCCATCTCAATAATAACAACAACAAAAAATCAAAAATGTTTTAAAAATAAAAATCATTGCTTTGAATAAAGAATTAGATCACTGTTGGCAAAAACAAAGTATTAATACATTATCACTGACCCCACAGAAATATTAAAAAACTTCCAATATCCATCAGAATACTATGAACACCTCTTTGCGCACAAACTAGAAAATATAGAAGAAATGGATAAATTCTTGAACATATACAACCTTCCAAGATTGAAACAGGAAGAAACTGAATCCCTGAACAGATTAATAATGAGCTCCAAAATTGAATAAATAATAAACAGCCTACCAACCAAAACCAAAACCAAACCAAAACAAAAAAACAAAACCCCAAACTCAGGAACAAATGGACTCACAGACAAATTCTACCACATGTACAAATAGCTGGCACCATTTCTGGTGAAACTATTACAAAAAAATTGAAGAGTACGGGCTCCTCCCCAACTCATTCTATGGAGCCAGAATCATCCTGATGCCAAAACCTGGCAGAAACACAACAAACAAAGAAAACTTCAGGCCAATATCCTCAATTAACATTAATGCAAAAAATTCTCAACATAATACTAGCAAGTTTAATTCAACAGTACATCAAAAAGCTAATTCACCATGATCCAGTAGGCTTTATTCCTGGGATGCAAGGTTGGTTCAACATATACAAGTCAAATAATGTGATTTATCACATAGACAGAACTAAAAATAAAAACCACATGATTATCTCAACAGATGCAGATGAGGCTTTTGATAAAATTCAACACCCCTTCAAGTTAAAAACCCTCAACAAACTAGGCACTGAAGGAAAATTCTTCAAAACAGTAAGAGCCATCTATAACAAACATCATACTGATTGGGCAAAAGCTGGAAGCATTCCTCTTGAAAACCAGCACAAGACAAGGAGGCCACCTTGCACCATTCCTATTCAACTAGTATTAGAAGCCCTGGCTAGAGCAATCAGGCAGGAGAAAGAAATAGGAAGAGAGGAAGTCAAACTATCCTGTTTGCAGATGACGTGATTCTATATCTAGAAAACACCACAGTCTCTGTCCAAAAGCTCCTTGATCTGATACACAACATCAGCAAAGTTTCAGAGTACAAAAGCAACATACAAAAATCAGTAGCATTCTTACATACCAACAACATCTAAGCCGAGAGCCAAAACAGGAATGCAATCCCACTCACAATCACCACAAAAAGAATAAAATATCTAGTAATACAGCTAACCAGGAAGGTGAAAAGTCTCTACAATGAGAATTACAAACCACTGCTCAAAAAAATCAGAGATGATCAAACAAATAGAAAAGCATAAACATCCCATGTTCATGGATAGGAAGAATCAATATCTTTAAAATGGCCATATTGCTCAAAGCAATTTACAGATTCAATGTTATTCCTATCAAACTATAAATGACATTCTTACAGGATCAGAAAACCTATTTTAAAATTTATATGCAACAAAAAAAGAGCCTGAATAGCGAAGGTAATCCTAAGTAAAAAGAGCACAGCTGGAGGTATCATGTTACCTGACAGGTCTACAGTAATCAAAACAGCAAGTTACAGGTACAAGAAGAGACACACAAACCAATGGAATAAAATGCCTCACATCTAAACTATCTGATCTTCAACAAAGCTGACAAAAACAAGGAATGAGGAAAGGACTAATCATTCAATAAATGGTGCTGGGATAACTGGGTAGCCATAAGCAGAAGATTGAAACTGGACCCCTACGTTATACCACATACAAAAATCAACTTGAGATAGATTAAAGATTTAAATGTAAAGCCTAAAACTATAAAAATCCTGGAAGATAAAATAAAAAAATCATTCTGGGGACTTGGCAAAGATTTCAAGATGAAGACACCAAAAGCAATTGTAACAAAACCAAAAATTGGCAAATGGACCTAATTAAAGAGCTTCTGTATAGCAAAACAAACAAAAACTGTCAACAAACAGAGAACCTACAGAGTGAAAGAAAATAACTGCAAACTATGCTTCTGACAAAGGTGTAATATCCAGAATCTATAAGAAATTTAAATTAACAAGCAAAAAACACCACCATTCAAAAGTGGGCAAAGGACACAAACAGACACTTTTCAAAAGTAGACATACATATGGCCAACCAGTATATGAAAATATGCTCAACATCACTTATCATTAGAGAAACACAAATCAAAACCACAATGAGATGCCATCTCATAACAGCCAGAATGAATATTATTTAAAAGTCAAAAAACAACAGATGCTGGCAAGATTGGAGAGAAAAGGGTATGCTTATTTACTGCTAATGGGAGTGTATTCCAGTGTGGCAATTTCTCACATAACTTAAAATGGAACTAACTACCTTTTGAACCACAGTCTCATTATTGGGTGTATACTCAAAGGAATGTAAAACATTCTACCATAAAGACACATGCATGCCCATATATTATTCATTACAGTACTATTCACAATAGCAAAGACATGGAGTCAACCTAAACGCCCATTGACAGTAGACTGGATAAATAAAATGTGGTACATATAAACCACGGGATACTATGCAACCGCAAAAAGAATGAGAATATGTCCTTTGCAGCAACATGGATGGAACTGTAGGCCATTATCCTAAGCAAACTAACAAAGGAACAGAAAAATTAAATACTGCATGTTCTCATTTTTAAGTGGGAGCTAAACAAAGAACATATGGATACTAGGAGGGAAACAACAGACACTGGGGCCTATTTGAGGTTGAAGGGTGGGAGTGGGGAGAGGATCAGAAAAAAAAAAAAAACCAAAAACCTATTGGGTACTATACTTATTACCCTGCTGACAAAATTATCTGGATATCAAACCCCCATGACAAGCAATTTACCTGCACATGTATCCCTGAACAATAACAAACCTGCACATGCACTCCTGAACCTAAGATAAATTTTTTTTTAAAGTATGAATATTTTTGTAATTGTCTTTCTATACCTCTATGGATACTGGGCCACTGAGGACCCCAGCTTACACTAGGGATACACACTGAATGAGCGTAGCAAATTTTCTCAGTGCCCAAGAATGAATCCGTTGCTGGCCTACCTCACCCAGAGATAAATTCTCTTGCTCTTCCTGTGCCTCCTTCTCCTCCTCCTCCTCCTCCTCTTCTTCCTTCTCATGGTCTGACTCCTCCTTTTCTCCTTGACCCTTCACATTCTCCTGGTTCAGGGATGGGTTTAAGGAATTCTCTCTTTCAACCTGCATTTCTTCCAATATGTGAGTAGAGCCTTCTTTGGACTCATCCATCTCAGCATGCAGAGGGGACTTTTTCTGCTGGCCCAGCTCCTCTTCAGTTACGAAGGACTCCATTTCTTGAGTGTTTTCTTCTTCCGTCTCTTCTACTGACGTGGCAGCACTTGTCCCACTACTTACGCTTTCCTCCCCTCTGCTCATGTCCTCTTTAGATCCTTGCTTCTTCCTCAGTTTTCTCATTCTCTTCTGGAAGTGTTTTTCCTGTGCTTCTGTTGATGATCAACATCAAAGCACAAGGACAGACAATTTACTGATGCTGCCTGGATTGGGCCTCCCAACCCACAAACGCATAAGAGTGAAGTCTGGGAGAATCAGATTTGAATTGAAAAAGTGTTACCTGGTTTCCTGAATTTGAAAATGACTTCTCCAGCCAAGTTCTACAAGGAAAAACCACGAGTCACTAAAGGACATTTCTTCAGAGTGCCACTTTTAAGTGCATCTCTTTTAAGTAGAAGGACCCATCCCTCCCCTTTAATATCTGATGCAGGCTTTGACCAACTCAGTTCACTGTGGTAATTGGGGTGTTCCCCATCTGGGGAACCAGTTTTTCTTAATTCCAAGAAGGCTAGTAAACCCTTATAGCACGCAATAGGTAGTCACGGAATAAAAGCTCATTATGACATATTTTTTGGCAGTGATCTGGAGCAAAGGGCAAGAAAAATATAAACTGAGGGATGCAAACAAAGGGGCAGAAATCTGCTGCATTCTGTGCTAGATGGAACAGACAGAATGGGCATGATTTACATGATCCTGTGAGCCCCCTTGTAAACCCTGTCAACCTGTTTCACAGGCTCTGGCTGAAGTTTTGGATATACTGTGTTATGGATAACAGTGCAAGCTATAGAGTGTGCAGGTCTGGATTTGATTCCCAGATCCTTATAAGCTAAGTGATCTTGGGCAAGTCCTTTAAACCCTATGGGGCTTAGTGTTATCCTCCATGAAATGAATATTTTTTAACAGTGCCTATTTTACCTTTAACCCAGATAACCCGAATCACCTCAAAGGGCAGGCAATGAGCTCACCATCCTATAGCTTGAGCTTCCCCTTCAACCTAGGGGAGCATCTATTATCAATCTAAACAGTATTCTCTTCTCGGAGGCGAGATCATCGGGGAAGGAGCCAGGTGTCCTGTATATGTGGGAAACCTTGGCCAGGTTCGGTGCCAACCACAAGCATTTCCATTCTGGCCAGGCAGGACTATGGCTAGTGTGTGGGAAAAGAGCCAAACTCTGGGGGATTCAAACCAGGGAATCCCAGGTATCCATGCATTTACCCAGAGAACATTTATCGTGTCTGAATTATGTGTAAGACCCTGTGCTAACAGCAATCAAAGTTGAATAAAAATTAATAAGGCATACATGCCCTTTAAGCAATACATTATAGTTGGGTGCTCTAGACTCCTGTATTTGACAGCAACCAAGCACAAAACGTTCAGAGCACAGAGAGGTGGCAGGGGCTGAGCAAGGTGAGATGAGGGGTCAGGCTGAATGAGTGGGAGCCTTTCCCTTGGTAGTGAACTGGAGGTATGGGTGGGTTTGGGATGTGTAGAGACAGAGGGGCTCCAGCAGAGGGAGCAGGATGAGGAAGGGCAGCAGGCAGGGGGCACATGCAGGAAGGGATGAGTCTCCTGGATGGGGAAGAGTCAAGGCAGGAAGCAGAGAGTGTGGGACCTTTGTGTTCACCTAGGGACTGTAAGTTGGATTTGGTGGGGGCTGCAGAGTTGATGAGAGATTTTTCAGGAGAGTAGGTGGGTCAAAGCTATATTTTAGGAGAATTATGCGGCAGTGGTAGGTATGATAAATGGAATTCCAAGAGCCCTATAAATTAACCTTTTCATTATAAGTCCATTCAGGCTTGAGCCCTGAATTCTGAACCCTTCAGTCTCTTTTGAACTGAGAAAGAGGTGGTCTTTTTAGAGACACTTTCAGCTGCTTTCTCCTTACATTGATTTGAACTCTGCAGGGTTAGGAATGGCTTTCAAAGTCTAGGCAGATCATAACAAGAAGTCAGCCTCTCTCTTAACTTCTTCACGAGTAGCTGGGTCTATCATTTCCCTCTCCATACCTGTTCAAAGATTTCACGCACAAAGAAGTATTGGCTGAGGGTGGAGCTGTAGGAGTTGAGTTCTTTCAGTACGATGGCTGGGTACTCCATCACTTCCTTTGTCATGAGGGTGTGAAAAGATTCATACCTGGGAGGTAGGTAGGTGAGACAGAGGACCCCAGCCAGGAACCACACCCCTTACCCCAAGGAGACGGGCTGAAATCTGGCACTTAGCTCTGTGTAGAGCCGCTGTGTGGCTGCTTTTATTGCAGCAGTCCTTGGTTTGTTTTGCTATTTTTCTGATCATACAAGAAATACATACTTTTTGTAGAAAGTTTGGAAAACACACTCAGAGAGTTTTCTGCTTGTAACGTGAGCTTCCTTTCCCTGTCCAGGGTTCTAACCCTGTGCTTGGTCTTTATGCTGTCCTTGAACTTTACGGTACCTACATTACTCCATCAAACCCCCAAATCCCCCAAGGTCCAGACTTCTGTTTCTCAGATAAGGAGACCAAGGCTCATGGGGTTACTTGCTTGCCTAAAGTAATCAGAATTGCCTTCTGAATCTAAGTACTGCTATCAATTGGCAGTGTAATTCCATTTCTGTGAACAGTCCTTATGGAATCAGTTGTACAAAGTCACCATGACCAAAGAAAGTTCACAGAGAATTGTTTGTCATACTGAGGAGTTAGAACAAATAGAAACAGCTAATCAATTGGGGGATTCATAATGCTACATGGTATTTAAAAATGGAAATATATCTGCAGTTATGACAATTTGCAGAGTATAATGCAACCTTTTTTTTTTTTTTTTTTTTTTTTTTTTCTATTTTTGGAGATGGAGTCTCACACTGTTGCTGGGCTGGAATGCAATGGGGCAATCTTGGCTCACTGCAACCTCTGCCTCCTGGGTTCAAGCAATTCTCCTGCCTCAGCCTCCCAAGCAGCTGGGATTATAGGCGCCCACCACTACGCCTGGCTAATTTTTTGTATTTTTAGTAGAGATGGGGTTTCACTATTTTGGCCAGGCTGGTGTCAAACTCCTGACTTTGTGATCTGCCTGCCTTGGCCTCCCAAAGTGCTGGGATTATAGGCGTGAGCCACCGTGCCTGGCCAATCCAACCTTTATTTTAAAAACACTATATATGTGTGTGCTTGCAGTGGTTAACTTATTTTTCCTGCTTTGACAAATAATGTACATGTTTAATTTTTTTTTTTTTTTTTTGAGACAGAGTCTTGCTCTGTCCCCCAGGCTGAAGTACAATGGCATGATCTTGGCTCACTGCAACCTCTGTCTCCAGGGTTAAAGTGATTCTCCTGCCTCAGCCTCCCAAGTAGCTGGGATTATAGGTGCCTGCCACCATGCCTGGCTAATCTTTGTATTTTTAGTAGAGATGGGGTTTCACCATGTTGGCCAGGCTGGTCTTGAACTCCTGTTCTCAGGTGATCCACTCACATCTTTAAATTTTGAAAAGGAGGCCCCATGTTCTTGAACTTGAGCCACATTTCTTTGAAACCTCCCTCCACAAACTTTTCAACATTCTCCCTAGAAGCTTCTTTGTTGGCTGAGAGCAGAGCTGCAGAGGGCCACAATGCTTTCTAAAGTGAGAGGCACAATTTTCATTTTAAGGACTCTTGTGCAGCCTGCCCTTGACCTTGAAGATGAATTCCTGACCATCCCCTCCTGCCTTTTAGGGCCTGTTTGGCCTACCTGTATTTCATGTTCTTCAGATAATCTTTGACCTTTTCCAGGTGAAACGCCAGTGTTTCTTGGTGGCTCTGCTGCCTCAGTTGGTCCAAGAGCCTGTCGAGGTGGGCTTCCTGGGCCTGCAGCCACCCCCAAAACAAGAGCAGACATGACCTCCAGTGATCACGGAGTGTGAGTGACCTGCACGGACCCTGCCGCTGGAACTAAGGCCCAGGTGCCCAGCAGATCCAGGACTTCCTTTCAACAAACGGGGCACCTGACCTGCTACCACCCTCTCTCTCCACTACAAGCCTCCAGACACTTCTCTGCCTGCAAGGTTCTTCCCTGCTCACATAATACCCCCAGGGAACCAGGTCAGATGGGACTCCCTGGGGACATGGCCCTCCCACCTGCCCGGTCTTGCCTGCACTACACCTGCTCCTTACTCTCCTTCTCACCAGTCGTGCTTGAAATTAGATGCTGAGTTTGTCCCCCCCACCTCCTGGACTGTGTGAGAGCAGGCAGGGCGGGGGCCAGCTGACCTCCTGTGCAGGCAGGAGATGGCCCCAGTTATGGAGTTTTGAAACGATTCCCAACACGTGCACAGTTTGCTATATAAATGGCACGTTTGACTGTAAGAACTTGGAGTGTCTTCCCCCTTTTCTTTCAGAATGTGATGTCTTATCAGACCCCATATATGAGAACTTGGAGCTATTCCCCCTCACCTTGGAAATGTTTTGTCACCCTTATCAGCCCCTCATATGTGAGTTTCTGACCTTAACTACTGGACCTCAAAAAACTCAAGAGTTTGACACTTTGAGAGCTTAGGCTGAGGCAGGTTTCACTCTGTGAGTGGCGCCTTTGAATGAGAGAGAGCTCAGGCTGTGACAGGATTGAGGCCATGAAGCTAAGCCACCAGCACCGGCACTACCCTCTGGCTTCCAGGGACCTATGTGCCATCACCAATGTCCACTGTGTTGGCTTGCAAGCCAGTTTCTCCTGGGAAACCACACGTGGAAAGAAACCATACCTGAAGCTTTTATTAGACTTTACTTCCCATGGAAGCCTGCTTCCATCCTAATTGAGCAACTAGACTTTAATAGCTTTGCAACTCACAACAGTCTTGAAGTACCTTGTCTACGCCCTGTGGACCTATTCCCTTTGAGGTTTGTTCACGTTATTCTCCCCCTCTTTAAGCATTGTGAATCTACAAAAAAATTCTCTTTGAATGGCAGTAAAGTGTGTGATTCGTGATCCCATCCTTTAATCGTCTCCTTATTTGAACCATCTGTCTGTCTCTCATGCACGCTCTTACAGACACCTTTGGTTCCGGGAGATTTCTGCTATCTCCATGTGATCCTATGACCAACGTGCGCCTCAGTGTCCACATCTGCACAGATTTCATAGCTTAAGGTTTTCCATTTGGGTCAAGGATCTGTTTGAGTTCACTGGTGTTTGTGGTGTGAAACATGGAGCCCCAGGTGGGGGCATACCTGGCTCTCCAGGCTGTGCTTCTGCCGGTGCTGCTCCATCCTCTTCTCTAGCTCCAGCTGCTGCACCAACAGCTCACTCTGGTGTGCCTCCCACAGTTGTACCACCTCCTGGAAGTACTTGAAGAGGTTCGAACTCTGCCACTCTGTCTGATCTGCCAGGGTCTCAAAGGATTTCTACAGTGGCAGAGCCCAGAGAAGGGACCTTGAGGGCTGACGGTCCAGGGACAGGAAGAGGGCCCACCTGTGGGATCCCCATCTCTAACAACTGAACAGCATTGCCCAGACACCATCCCTCAAGGTCAACATCCAGGCCACACCTGGGCTCCTGGTCCTCCCTCCCTGGGGCAGCATTTCAGGTCTGCCCTTGGTCTTGCTGATCCTCAAGTCCCATCTCTAGACATGTCCTATGCCCCACAAAAGTCTCTGACAGGAAGATGGAATCTGGGCCTAGAAGAAAGAAGGTCCATTCCTAAAAACCAGGCTGGGCACTCAGGAGGCCACAGCAAGGCTGGCCTGGGTCTCTTTCCTTCTCTGGAGTTCCCTCACTCATGGCATGGGGGCCAAACACCATACCTGCTGTGAAATCCTCACACACCACTCACCTTTGAAAAAAATATATGTGTTGGCCAGGCGTAGGGGCTCATACCTATAATCTTGGCACTCTGGGAGGCTGAGGCAGGTGGATCACCTGAGGTCGGGAGTTTGAGACCAGTCTGACCAACATGGAGAAACCCTGTCGCTACTAAAAATACAAAATTAGCTGGGCATGGTGGTGCATGCCTGTAATCCCAGCTACTTGGGAGACTGAGGCAGAAGAATCACTTGAACCCGAACTGTGGAGGTTGTGGTGAGCCAAGATCATACCATTCCCCCCCACCCGGGGAAAAAAAAAAAAAACCCTTTCTTAATTTAAAAAAAAAAAAAAAAAAAAAAAAAAAAAAAGTACATGTCCTATGCCCTCATCTGGGCCAGGGGTAGGCAAGCTGCCACCTGTTGGCCCTCCACCTGTTTTTGTTTGGTCCTGAGAGCTACATACAGATATTCCAGTTTTAAAATGGCTGGAAAATAATCAAAAGAAGATATTTAATGAGCTAAATATTATATAAAATTCAAATTTCAGTGTTCATCAACAAAGCTATTGGAACAGTATTTAAAACAGCCATGCCATTTCTTTCTGCATTGCCTAGGCTGCTTTTGCATGGTGCTCGCAGAGCTGACAAGGTGAGTCAGAGACCTGAAGGCCCACAGACCCTAAAATAGTCACGATCTGGCCCTTCACAGAAAACATGAGCCAACCCCGGCTCAAGACAACATACATCTTGGGCTGGGGGCTTATTGTGCCTCTGCAGCCCTTCAGTGCCCAGGGTCAACAATGGCTGGGAGCATTCATGGCCTGGAGTTCTGCGCAGCACCCATGTCAGTGGGTGGCTGGGAGGAGTCAGCTGGGTGAGCCTGGAGTGGCCAGCATAAGGGGGCTGCTCTGAGAAGGGCTGACAAGGGCGAGTAGACACACTAGGAACATGCCAGTTGGAGCTCCTGGGCTCTCCTTACAACCCAAGACCCCCGGGAACCCCCAACCCCACTTTAGCTCCCCAGCAGAACAGTCCCCAGCACGCACGTCCAAGAGTTCCAGGTCTTCCTCCACCTTGCCCTGGAGCGCTCCCACCATCTGGAATAAGAACTGGTTCACCAGGGTCTCTGCCTCCTCCTCAGTGAAGGCTTCCCAGTCCAGCAGCTGCTTCTGGGGTGTGTGGGACAAGGCAGAGCCTGGATTAGGGCTGTGGTCCCCACAGGCATCAACCATATCCTATGGGCCTCAGCATTGCTCAAGTCAGACCTGGGCTCTGCACCCCATCAATTCTGTTCCCCTTAGGGTCTGGGGGGCTGGGCACAAGCTGGCTGGAGAGGCGTACAGGAGCTCCCTGGGGGCTCCCCAAGTGGGGCCCTCAGCTCAAACATGCTTCACAACAGGTTAAGCTTTGTGGAGAGGAGTGGGGGTTGCTTACAGTCTTACCAAGGAAGCAAAAGGGGATATTCTGACTCAATAGCTCCCCTACCCCAGATAATTGGTCACAGCCATGCTGGGGTTTGGGAGCAAGTTTACTGTCTCCCTCTGTTATGCAGTGGGCAGGGTGGAGAGGAAAGTGGGGCCAGGCCTATCTATGAAGGGGGTGTGTCACAATAACCCCAGGATGTGACCTCCATTCATAAACAATGCTGTGTATGACACAGGGTCAAGGGTGAAGTCTGCGGTGATCTGAGAGTGCACACACCATCTGACATGGGCTTCCTGGGGGAGGCGATGGGTTAAAACAGGAGAGATGGCAGGGATAGCTGGGAGGGGATCTGGGCAGAAGGAACAGCTTCAGAATGCCCAGAGCCCATGGGGAAGAAAAGCCTGGATGGAGGCTAAAGGGTGTGTGGGAGTGAGGTGGGGACATAGCTGGGGAGGGAAAGGCATTGGGGATGGGGCCAGGGAGGGCACCGCAGGTCCTGCCCAGGTGCTCCTCTTCTCGGGCCTGCAGGAAGGGTGCCCACCTTACAATTCTGCAGATGCATCAGGCACTCCTGCCACGTCTTCTCATACAGCAGGCGGATCCGCATCATGCAGTCCAGGTGGTAGGTGTCTCCAAGGGCAGAAAACAAAGTGTTATCAGTCCAGAAGGAAGAAGGGATGAGAAAGGGGAGTGTCCCCTTTGCAAAGGAGTCCACAGCAACACTTATCTAGGTGAAGATCAGTGGTCCCAATTCAGACCAGGGGCTGGCGTCCCCTTACAAAGTTCCTGACATCCCAAGATAAGGGTCTCAAATGAAGAGCTTGTCTTTATCTGTTCTGAATCCATTCTGGCCCTGACTCTTGACTCAGTTTCAGGGCTCGTGAAATTCTTTTTGGGCAGCTGCACCAAGTTGTAAACCAGTAATGAGAGTGGAGATCAATGAGCATCTACTGATCCCATCTGTGGTTCATCCCTGAAAAAGTGAATGCACTAGCAGAATGCCCAGAAGCTTGCTTATTTATTTATTTTCTCTATTTCTCCTTCCTTCAGTTTCTCAGCTTATAATAAACTCAGTGTGACTCTGATGTCTAAGATAAGCAACTTTGGGTTAGTGCTGCTGGCAATTTCTAGAAACTGAAAGACCACACAGAGATTTTGTGGTGGCTGTTCTTTGTCCAGGGCTGGGGAGGAGGGCAGGTTGATGGCAGCTGGCTGTAGATTTAGGATACCTGGTAGGGTTGACAGATGCCAGAACTGATGAGAAGAAGCTGTCAATCCACTTCCTCCTATCCCCAGGGCTAGTTCCTAGGCCAAGGTGTCCACATCCTTCTGTGAGGCCACTGTGAGGGGCTCTCCTAGGTCCCCCTGCAAACCTCTGGGCCATATGCATCCTCTGACGTCATCACCTTCAGCACAGAACCTTCCACTGGGTTACTACTGCCCTCAGGACAAAGCCCAGACTTTCCCATGCAGCCCATGTCACCAGCAGAGTCCAACTGCTTTGCATCTTCTAGCTTCCCCTTCCTGTTTCCAAAGGCCCCCGCCTTGTCTTGGCTGGGGGGCCCCCTACACTGTATCCTTGCTTGGAATGCCTCCTCCCTCTTGGCCTGGCTGACTCTTACCTCCCTTGCAGTTCTCAACCAGCTGTGTCCCTGACGATGGCTCCCAGGGCTGGGGACCTGTCCATTCTCTGCTTGCTCTGACTTCTGCTCTGGACTGGAAGTGCCCAAAGGCAGAGCCAGCTACTGAATGCCAAGGCCCAGCACAATGCCTGTCCCTAGGAGGCACTAAATGAATGGCAGTCATTGCTATTATTTAGGGTCTCAGGGCTCATACAGAAACACCCTTAGTATTATAAACCTGAGGGTCCTAGAAACAGTGGCAGGTACTACTAGCTGAAGTATCCAAGCTAAGTCCAGCTGTGACACTTCATTGGCTGTGTGACCTTGGGCAGGATACTTTACCTCTCTGTGCCACTAAACTCTTTTCTTGCTACAAGAGGACAATGATACTACTGACCTCACTAGATTGCTGTGATCCTCTAAGGAGATGAAAAACTTATTACATATCTTCTAGAGCAAGTCGTGGCAAACCTTTTCTATACAAGACTAGAGAGTAAATTGTTTTTGCTTTGTGGCCATACAGTCTCTGTTGTAGCTACAGATGTTCCATGATTTACAATGGGGTTATGTCCCAATAAACCCACCATAAGTTGAAAATATCTTCAGTTGAAAATGCCTTTAATATGCCTAACCTACTGAACATCATAGCTTAGCCTAGTCTACCTTATATATGCTCAGAAAACACACATTTGTCTACAGTTTGGTGAAATCATCGGGCAACAGAGTCCACCTGTTTACCCTCATGACCACAGGGCTGACTGGGAGCTGTAGCTTGTCACCATTGCCCAGAGTTGCCAGGGAGTATTGCAGCACAGATCCAGGCACCATAGGCCAGGAAAAGAGCAAAATTCAAAATGTGAAGTATAGTTTTTGCTGAATGTGTATCACTTTCACACTACTGTAAAGTCGCAAAGTCCCATTGTAAGTCAGAGGCCATCTGCATTCACCTCTGCAGCCAGAGACAATATGTCAGCAGATGAGGCAGCTAGAGACTAACAACACTTAGCGACCAAACCAGCAGCCAGCATGGTCTGCGGCCTGACTGCCCTCCTCATAGAGCATTTTGAAATATCGCCATTTGTGATTGAGGACTCTGTGTAAGCAAGGCACTGGACTACCACTGGACATCCACTCCACAAGCAGGGACTATTACTCCTCTTGCCATCACTATTTACAGAGGAGGACACTGAGGCTACCAAAGGCTCTGATTTTCCCAAGGTCACACACTCCTCTGGGAGGAGCAGAGTTGGGCATCAAGACCATGTGCTCCACCTCACCCTCTCGGGATATGTCCCTGAGCCTTCCTCAAAGAGGGCATCAGCGCCATCTCTCTGTCTGCATGCTTGGGTGAGGGGTCAGGGGTCAGAGAGTATGCCTTGTGTAGCTGCAGGCTGGGCAGTGAGGAGAGGAGGCCCTGGGAAGGGAGGAGGAGCCTTTTGAGCCCTCAGAGCTCACTCTTCCCTCCACACCCCCATCGTGATTGCTGCTCCACCCACTTGGCTGAGCTTCGACAAAGCACCTGCTTGAACAGAGTTCTGGAGAGATGCGGGTGGGAGTCCTGCAAAGGTCACTCACCTAGTTCCTTGTTCAGGGCATTGAGAGAAGAATGCCACTCAGTCAGCTGAGTTTGGTTGCAATTGGGGGGCAGGAGGTCACTGGGGAAGGAAGATATGGCAAGTCAGCCACACAGGAACAAAACATTTACTCACCAAAATGGATAGCATCTTCAAGGAACACAGCTCCAGAAAATCACGGATTTAAATACTGAAGAACAAAGGGAACTGCTGGGGATTTCCTGGTGCCAAAACATGGCCTGGCTGAAAGGTCTTTTAATTAACAACTTCTAAGTCATCAGTTTGCTACTTAGAATAGAAAACAAAACAGAATTTTTCCAGTGGAAAAAACAAACTGTTCATATCCCTTGACCAAGGAAGCCTACTTCTGGGAATTAATCTGAGATGGCATTATAAAATGCACAGAAACTTTATGAATTAACATGTTCACTTAACAATCCTGTTCATAAACTCACATGATGATTTAAAAACCTTTAAATCAACAATAGAAAACTGTCTAAATAAGGTACGGCGAAATCTCTTCTGAAGTCATTAGAAATGATGTCATAAAAAAGAATGAGATCACGGCTTTGCAGCAACATGGATGGAGCTAGAGGCCATTATCCTACATTAACTAACACAGGAACAGAAAACCAGATGCCGCAGGGTCTCACATGTAAGTGGGAGCTAAACTTCGAATACATATGGGCATAAAGAAGAATACAAGCACCGGCACCTACTTGTGGGTAGAGGGTGGAAGGAGGGAGAAGGTGGAGACACTACCTACTTTGTATTATGCATATTACCTGGGTGACAGAATAATCCGTACACCAAAACCCCACAACATGCAATTTACCTGTATAACAAAACTGCACATGTACCCCTGAATCTAAAATAAAAGTTAAAAAAAGGACACCAAATTCTTTTCTAAATTTTATTTTTATCTTAAGTTCCAGAGTACTTGTGCAGGATATGCAGTTTGTTACATAGGCAAACATGTGCTATAGTGATTTGCTGCACCTGTTAACCAATCACCCAGATATTAAGCCCAGCATGCATTAGCTTTTCCTAATGCTCTCCTTCCCCCCATCTCACCCCCAACAGGCCCCAGTGTATGTTGTTCCCTTCCCTGTGACCATGTGTTCTCATTGTTCAGTTCCCATTTATAAGTGAGGACATGTGGTGTTTGGTTTTCTGCTCCTGCTTTAGTTTGCTGAGGATAATGGCGTCCAGCTCCAACCATGACCCTGCAAAGGATATGATCTCATTTTTTTATGGCTGCACTGTATTTCATGGTGTATATGTACCACATTTTCTTTATGCAATTAGACACCTAATTTAAAAAAGTAGTGTGGTAGATTGAAAAATGGTCAGCTCCCTCCCATGGGGGAGGTGGAATCTATTTCTCCACCCCTGGAATCTGGGCATGGCTATGTAACTGGTCTTAGCCAATAGGACATTAGCAAACACAAGCTAGCAGAGGCTTGGGAAGGGCTGTGCATGGGTTTGCCCTCTCCTACTTCAGTGACCTTCTGCCACCCACTGTATGTAGGATCTCAGGTTGGCCTCCTGGAAGCTAAGAAAGTATATGGAGAGAGGACCCAACTGACCCAACAGAGACTCCAGACACATGAGTGAGGCCATCCTAGACCTTCCAGCCCTTGCCAGGCCAGCCCACAATGGGGGAACCACCCAGCTGACTTACAGAATTATGAGAGACTAGACATGATTGTTGTTTAAAGACACTAAATTTGGGGTGCTGTTGAATGGTGTGGAAGAGGTGTATTGCTAGAGGGATCATATGATTTATTGTCTAAACTAGGACATTTTGACAGTGAAAGAAGTCACTATGAATCATTATGCCAGAACAAGGTGTATAACCCAGTATGGTCTTGGGCAAACAGGGATTCAGGTAACCCTACTCATAACTGGACAGTAATGAGCAAAAGTTAAGTACAAGAGTATGCATAGCATAATCGCAACTCTAAGCATTACACTAAATACAATGTGGTCTCCTGGAACAGAAGAAGGACACGAGTGGAAAAACAGGTGAAATGCAGATGAAATCTGGTGTTTAGCTAATATAAATGTATCAAAATGAATTTGTCACTTTTAATGAATGTCCAGTGGTACACAGGATGGTAACATTAAGGGAAACTGGGTGAAGAGTTAGGGTTAGGAATTCTGTGTGCTATCTTTGCAGCTTTTCTGGAAATTGAATATAACTCCAAAATACAAATTTTATTTTTTGAAAAAAAAAATTTTACAATCATATGCACATATACTACCTGGGGCCAAGAAAACTCATGGGAATTCTCCCAGGTCTTAGGATATCTCCCCATCAAGGTCTTGGGGAATCTTAGCTAGACTTTCCCCGCTGCCATCACTACCACATGCTCCTAGCAGACCCTGCATTTGAGTAGCAAGGATCCCCACCAAGTTTATAGAGCTTTGGGGGTTCCAGAAGAAGGGCCTGAAACTGTGGGCCAGGATGGGGTGTGGGATCCCCAAACTGCCTCTTGGGACAGCTCGTCAGGCTTGATTAGAAGGCTCCCCACTGCCTGAAAGGTCAGGGAAGAAGAGAGGACCATCTACACAGTGGGTTTTCTGGGTGCTATCAAGGCCTCAAGACCCAGCCTTCTCTACTGATGTTCACTGAATCTATGACCAAGGCTTTGCAACTTTATCTTTAGTCCTGTGGGCTCCAGCCTTGTGTTCACAGTACACACTTCTGGGTGCTAGAATTGGGTTCTGAACTCACCTCTCTACATATTTCTACTGCAAAGGAGCTGTGTGGTCCTGCCAACACCCTCCCTTCCTCCACGTCAGGTCCAATGGCCTCCCCGCTCTCCATAGAGACACTGCCATTGCACAATGTCTCCAAGCTATGGCCAGAAATGTCTATGCATACATTTTTTCTCCTTGTGTTTGATCCCGTCTCTCTCTTCCATTTAGACAGGTGACTAGCCAGCCCACATTCACAGCCTGTGAGAGAGGGATGTGGCCAGGCAGCCCACAAATTTTCCTGGCTTTCATTTTCAAGAGCCTAATTTCTTGGGAGAGCCTAGTGCATTGGTGAGAAGGTGTTTGTGGCACTAGGCCGAGAGCCCTGGGGACCAGGTATTTCCCCAACCCTATACAAAGGGGTTAGGGAGAAACGCAAACAGAGCAGGACAGGCAGATGCCCGGCAGTGGCAGCCTGGATTCTGCTTCCTGGTGGCACTATGGAAGCATCTGCAAGACCCAGGGCCCTGGAGGGAGACACTACCTAGGCGTGAAGCCTCAGGGGCTCAGAGCAGCCTCCTTGAGGAGGTTCCTATGTCCACTTGTCTGGAGTTAGCAGGAGCCCAGTGGCATTAGGGTTAACTATCACTGAGAACCAGACATCCCAATAGCAGTCCTGGCATCGCACGAGATTCTAGAACTTCACCTCAAGGGATAGGATCCCTAGAAAGACCAAGTTCTCTCCAACTTAAAGAACAGGTGCTCAACGTTGGAAATAAGTTGAATTACGGAAAACAACACAAGGACTTTTCCTGTCATGAGATGTGTATCCACCTTGTTAATTTTACAGCTCAATCCACATGTCCAAAATGTCAAACGCAAGGAGAAAAACTGGCCAGGCACAGTAGCACATGCCTGTAATCCCAGCACTTTGGGAGACCAAAGTAGGTGAATTGCTTGAGCTCAGGGGTTCAAGGCCACCCTGGCCAACATGAAGAAACCCCATGTCTACTAAAAATTCAAATATTAGCCGGGCAAGATGGCTCATGCCTATAGTCCCAGCTACTCCAGAGGCTGAGATGGGAGGATCACTTGAGCCCGGAAGGCAGAGGTTATAGTGAGCCAAGAGCACACCACTGCACTCCAGCCTAGGTGACAGAGCAAGACCCTGTCTCAAAAAAAAAAAAAGTTACTGCCCATGGAAACAGGAGGTTCCTGCCTAGGGGCAGCCCCTCTAGCTCAATGTGGAGCCTTAATAGTTATCTATATCCTAGGAGAACTTAGGACCTTGGGTAGGGGAGATGAGAAGAATCTGTGTCCCAAGGTTCCAGGGAGCATTTCCCCAACACACAGTACCTCCACTTTGCAGTACCATGCAACCTCCATCCTGCTGCTGAGGATGGAGGCTACAAACTCCCTGGACAGTGGATTCCAGGATCTAGAACAATCAGTGGGTACAGCTTTCTTATGAAATCAGAGCTGGGTGGACCCACATCTGAGGAGAGCATCCACAGCCTCTGACAGGTGCCCCCAGCCTCCAGTGTCAGATGCCTCTGACCCACACCTCCAAACTGCAAAGCTCTTGGAGCCACTCTGCTCCCCAATGCCCTCCAAACCCCTCCACCTGGCCACAGGCCCTGCGTGCTTTGCTCTGTGCCTCCTCCTCCCTCACCCCTGTTCATTGCTTCTTTCAAGCTGTTTGCCAGTTACAAGAAGCTTCTTTCTGCAGCAAATGGGCCATGCCCTTTCTTGTGAGTGGGGCTGGAATGCTCCAGAACATGGGCCCAGATGGCCAGCCCAGGACCAGAGAGCTGGGAGTTGGCCTGCCTAGTCTGAAGGATGGCTTAGGGACAGGGTACAGGCCACACCTGCCTCCCACACTGGACCCTCAAAAACACCCCTCCTGGATGACCCCTCCCACCCATACCAGATGGTGCAGAGGTGCTTCAGCCGCCTTTGCTGCAGGATGTTCTGGGTCTTCAGCATGACCTCTAGCTCCTTCTTCACAGCCGGGGGAGTACGGATACTCTCATTGGCCATGAATTCACTGGGTGGCCAGACACGTTGGCACCATAAAAGGGGGAGGAGGAGCAGGGCAGGTGTGAGAGCGGGGAATAGAACCGTGGTGAGAACATTCAGGGCCCCAGCACCCCTTCCCTAGCACCACCCCAGCCCCTTCCTCCCCAGCCTCTGCTTCTCCTCCAGGACCCTAAAGAAAGGAGAGAGACAGGGAGAGTGGGAGAAACAAAGGAGGGAGAAGTGGAGGAAAGAACAGAGGGATCCTCAGGTCAGTGGAGCTCTGGCACCAACAGCATGAGACCAGCAGGCTCAGACGTGGTGGAGTCCTGACCGCCGCCTGCCTGCCCTGTTAACTTTGGTCAAGTCCTTCTACTCTGAGCCTCCGTTTCTTCTTCTGTAAAATGGAATGCATGATCATGCCTTTCTCATTGGCACTTGCAAGCACTCAGTAAAATGATGGAAGCAAGGCCCCTAGCACTGTGCTTGGCTCATGGGAAATGCCCAGTAAACGGCAGCTGTTGCCATCACTGTTGAAGATGTTTGGCATTTATAACAGCGCCCCAGTTCCAAGCCCAGATACGTGCTTTCCATGCAGTATCTCACTGGATGACTGAAGTTCCGTCACAGGTCCTTTAGGATGCCTGCTTTGTGTGGGAAGAGATAGACTTCGAATATTCAAGGGCTTGGTCAAGGTCACGTGAAAAGGCAAGGTGGAGCTAGGCCCTGGTACATTTTTCCTTCCTCCACAGTAAAAGTGCCACTTGGCAGAGGAGGCATGGGGAAAGGACCTGTCTTCACCCTCCCTCCCATGGGAGGGAGGAAACACTCTCCCCAAGGGTGGGAAGTGTTTGCCTGAAAGATGTCCATTCGTTCGGGCCCAGCGTCCACAGGGTTATGAGCGGTAATAAACAGTGGAAGTTATACAGATAATTAGATGAATGCTTTCCAGCTATTTGTAGGGAGATCAGAGAATGGTCATGAAACAAGGTTCATGAATAAAATATGAAACTGCATACAGTATATGGATCCAGAAGAGCCTGGGAGAAAATATACCAAAATATTTGCTATGTTTCTCACTGTGAGAAGAGATTAGTGGTGATTTTTAATTTATTCTTTATACATTTATCTATTTCTAACTTTAAAAAGGACACAGAGAGACAGCAGCATTTTTAGTTAATGCGAAAAGGGAGGGAGAATGCCACCCCGGCCTTTGCCAGCCCCTGATGGGCTGGAGAAGGAGCTGTGTGTGGTGTGGGCAGCACTGACCTGAAATTTTGCAGCACAGCCTCCTTCTTGAGAGCCTTCCAGGTGTCCACCAGGCCTTGCCAGCGGTGGTGGCTGTCCAGCTCCTGTTGCAGGGTGGACTCCATCAGGTTGACAAACAGCTGGGTGATGGCCTTCCGGTTGCCCAGCAGGGCATAGTTCATGACCTGTGGTCACAGGTGGACAGGGCTCTAGACAGGGCAGGGTCTCTCTCAGGTCAGGGCAAGGCTCAGTTAAAGAGGGGCAGTGGGAGGCTGGAGGGGGTATGTGTAGGCTGAGGGCTGTGAGAGGGGTGGGTGCAGGGCCTGAGGGGGACTGAGGGGTCAGTGGGCACTCGAAGAAGCTGCCTGGAGCTGGGTAGCCACGGACAAGGTTCTTCCTTGAAGGCTTTACCACAGACTCTGACTGCATAAGCTTCAGCCCAGCTCCAAGGTCACTTTAGATGGTTTGTTAAAGAAGGTGAAAGGAGCTAGGCACTCAGTGAGCTCTAAGTGTTTACTCTTTTTTAAACATTTCTTCCAAAAACAGAGTGCATGTGCCATCAGATATGAGCCACATAAGGTTGTTAGGAGAACCGAGACCCAGTGGGAAAATCAGGCCAGAGCTAGAATATTCTTCAGCAGTCCTCCCAAGAGAACCTGGGCACCCTTGGCATGGGCGTGGGGATGATCCTTCATTGCATGGCACTGTTTTGCCCTTTAGCATCCTTGCCCCTGCTTAGATAAGAGTAACTTTCCCCATCCTCCCCAGCTCCAAATGCCTCCTCGAATTTCCCAAAGCCCTCTGGGGAGGTGGCAGTATGCTGGGGCAGTGACTGAGAACCCTGCCAAGCTCAGAGGCTAGAAATTCCATTAATGCTTTTCAGTGGAGCCTGAGGCTTGATGTTAGCCGTACTTCCTAGCTGGGGGGCATTGGCAAGTATTTCCTCAACCTACAGATCCACAGCCCTAAGATGGGGTTAATGCTATTTATAACATAGGGATTTTGTGAAAATAAATGAGAAAAATGCAGGTAGAGCAGGTAGCAGATGCAAGTTGTAATAATGAGTAGAAGCATAGGGAAGTGAAGCAGTGAAATGTACCCAGGACACAAGTCCTTGACTCCCCCAGTGGATAAAACACGTACAACTTAGGAGCCCTCCCTGATCTCGGAAGACAGCTACCACAGCTGAACTCTTTTTAATTAACCTCCCAACAAGTCCTGACAGGTATTACAGGCAGTCCTCAACTTACGATGGCTTGACACGATTTTTCAACTTTATCATGGGCTGATGGAGGTGTTAAATGCATTTCTGACTGACAGTATTTTCTACTGATGATGAGTGTATTGGGAAGTGACCCTATCATAAGTGGAGGAACATCTATATCATCTTCATTTTATGGACACAGTAAGCTCCAGGGTCCGGGCTGAGCCACTTCAGAAGCTTCCACATCTGGGCAGTGGAGAAGGTCCGTGCGCACTCCTTGCCTGTGCTTTATCTGGGTCACCATGGCGTGGATGTGGGCTGGACCCATCTGTGATTCTGAACACTGTCCTCTTTTCAGCCTGCTGTGCTGCCAGGAGGCCCCTTATCCAGTAAGCTCAGCTCAGTGCACAAGACCAGAAAACACAAGCAAAATGTGCCTTTGGCCAGCCAAAGGAGGAGTCCTCTCTCACAGCAGAGGAGTTGGGCTTTGCTCTGACTTTGGAGACATCATAAACAACCTTGAATTTTGTGTTTTCCACCCCAAGGAAAGAAGCAGGGGGAGGCTGGGGGCATGGACAGGGGAAAGCAGTGGGGACAGAGCCAAGAGGCAGGCTCAGCAATGGGTACCGACCACTGGTAGGAAGACAGGAAAGAACAGGCAGAAAACTAGGCATAGCAGGCAGGGCAGGTCACTCATGAAGGTGGAAACTCTGAGACAACGGTAGCCCCAAGATGATGACTCCATAGTGTGGCGCCTATTGCACTGCACACAGTAGCTGAGACATGGCCTAGTAGGTGCTCAGTAATGTCACCAGCATTCCAGATAATAGCACTATATTAGGTATGTCTGGTTGAAGACGGCAAGGAAATATGAAATGCACTTTAGAAAGATCTCTACTGAAAATGCTTACAATAGCAAGGACTCTGCTTCTCTACCTAAGAGGCCCACCTGAGCCCCTTAGAAATGTAATAGATGAGAAGCCCACTTTTCCTGAGACACCAGACACCAGGCTCGGGGTGCCCTGGGTTTCCCGGGTTCCTGGTCCTGCTCCTTCCCCGATGGGCTGATCCCTGCACAAGAAAACCACTCACCATGGCTTCTTTATTTATCAGTCTGTACACATCGGGCCGCATGAGGTAGGAAGTTTTCTCTATGATTTCTGCATATTTCTTCAACACGCTTTTTAGCTGGAAATGACAAGGCATCAAACTTAGTGGTTCATTTCCTGGAGAATTAAAAGGAAACAGAAGGATGCCTAATAAACCTGGCAAGTAAAAATCACCACGGAGCCCATCTGCAGCCAACTCACTTTATTGGCTCGGGAGAACTCCAGCGAGTGCAGAGCCTCATCCACCTCCTTAATTTCCTGCTTCTGGAGCAGGAACATCCTGGCCACCTTATCCCGCAGCTCCAGCAGGGCCTATGCAGAGAAGTTTGGGTCTGGCTAGGAGCCGGTGGGAGGGAGGGAAGAAGCAGGACCCGGGTGGGGCAGGCCCAGCCACAAAGAGACCCCTACTTGGATGGTGTAGTCCTCAAGGTTGGTGTCGTTTTCCACCTTTAGGAAGAGACGATTAATATCTTCGTCAGATTCGGTCAGCTTCGTCAAAAAAAGTCCCCCTGTGTCCACGATAAGAGGTTCCATTTCCTGTAACAGGCCAGGGGGATGATGGCCATGGCATCAGCACCCTGGGGAAGGAGGGACCCCTCCCTGTCATGGGGGAAGTGCCAGGCATGGCCCCATCTCAGAAATCATGATCACTGTCTACACCTAAGGAGTTAAGGCTCACTAGTCAGCTTTCAGCCACACCACACGCTCTACGCTGAGCCCTTCTTCTTGGCTCATTTGATCCTCATCTCACTCTTTGAATTGGCTGCTGACATTGGGCCTAGCCTACAGTTGGTGCTCAACAAATATTCATTAAAGAAATGGTCAAATGAAAGAATGGCCAAGTTTACTTCAGATGAGGAAACTGGGGCTCAGGTAGATGGCTTAACCAAAGCCACAGAGCTGAAGGGTGAAAGCAGACCTGGCACCTAGTTGGGACGTATGAAGAAACATGGCTGGGAGCCTGTTGTTGGTGCTTCGGGCACAGAGCCAGCTCCAGGAATCCAGGGCGGGGCAACAAAGGTCAGAGAAGACTCAGGGAGAAGGGGACAAAGGGAAATCCAGGGCTCGGGGCAATCCAGAAGGACAAAGACTGGTCTTGTTTAGGGAACGCTCCAGACACCAATGTGTCTACAGATGAGGTCTCTGGAGAGGAAAGAGAGCTGAATGTGGGGCAGTGCTGGGCTGTCACGAGGGATGTGCCATTTTCCTCTTCATCAGCAGGACCGAGCAGGGAGGCCAACGGCTAGGCTTTGGTATCAGACCTGGGCGTGGAGGGCAGTTCTGACTTGGGCCCTTATGTACCATGTTGGGTGAGACTCTCCGGGCCCCAATGCAAAATACGGTAATAATGGCATATGACTTGTAGGGCTTTTCCAAGAACTGCAGGGAGCTCAGCTCACAAACACTCACATGGTCAGGCATGGCCCCTAGGGCTCCATCTGTCTACGGCTCTCTGAGCCACTGAGGTCCCCTCAGCTGGCAGGCGGAAGGGAGGCTGGGAGCAACGACACATGCACCTTCGGAATGGCACAGGAAGGAAAGAGGAGGGAGAGGGAGGATTCTCACCCTTCCGACCTGCGCGATCTCCTCCTGAAAGCTGGCCAGAGCGCTTTCGTAGCTCCTCCTCTTGTGTTCTTCTCGTCCTTGAAGGGTGCTGGTGCTTATCTTCTCAGGAACTGTGGAGCAACAACAGAGGTGATGAGGCTGCCCTCAGAGCTCTCGGGAAAAGGCAGCACAGGCAGACAGCCCTGCACACCAAGGCCTGGCTCAGAAGGGGGACCCCACAGCCAGGCTAGGGTGGCAGAGGCCTAAGGAAAAAGAAAAAAGATGATGGTGAGCCATGAGTGCTAGAGGGACTGAGGCCTCAGATACACAGTTAAAAGCTGAAAAAGCTCCAAATTAGTGTGCATAGAATGTCTTTTAAAAAATTTCTATGGAAGCAAATCCATATAGAAGTGACAATTGCCAGCACTTCCATAGCACTTCCTGTGTAGTAGGTATTGTTCAAACTCAGCTAGTCTTCATGCTGAGGCCAAGAGGCGGCTTCCATCCCTAGCCTCATTTTACAAGTGACTGGGCAGGGATCTGGGCACTTTCTTCCAGGACAATGCTCTCACCAAATGTTCTGCTGTCCCCTTTATCCATGTGGGATGCTGGATGCCACGTGGGTTAATGAGGGTGGGTTGGGTAGGGGCTGATGACTCTCTTTGGAGAGAAGAGGTGTCATGGTGAAGGGGAAGGTTTTACTTTTTCTCTCCTTTCTTTGTTTTTCTACAGTGAGCATGTATTACTTTTTTAATCATAAAGAAAAAAGTCTTCTATATTAGGATAAAGTCAAGCTAGGACAATGCAGTAGCAAGGAAGAAAATGCAGATGAGAAATACTGCTGGGAACCTGCGAGAAAGCCAGTGGCATCCTTTAGCCACCCGTTTTTCATCAGTAACTGCCCTCCCTGCAGACAGCCCCTGTCCTCCCCCAGCTCCCTGCACAGGGGCGGACTCTCGGGTGAGATGCTCAGAGAGAATGCACTCCAGGTGGCTGGGCTGAGGAACACAGTGGGAGCCTCAGGGCCCTCCTCAGAGGAGTAGCCAGGAGACCTCCCCACCTCCCACCCAGGGCTCTCCCTGGCCCAGGATGGGCTTGCCTCAGGGGTGAATGGAGCCTCACCCATAGTGTCCATGAGACCCCGCACTTCTCGGGCAGCGATGGTGCTCTCACTTTCCCGGGCTTTTTCCCTCTTGGTTCTTTCCTTTTCCCTGAGACACAAGCAGAGATGAGTGAAGTCCCAGCTCCTGATGCCATTCATGGCAGCTCTGGCACATGAGGGTACCAGGAGGTGGTTCTCTAGAGGGACCGTGGGCAGTAGCAATGGGCTAGGCACATCCCAATTCCAGAGAGCCCTGAGGCAGTGCCCAGGCTCCCAACAAAAACTGCCTGAGGTCCCCTGCCAGCAGACACCGTGGATGCCTAGGTGAGAGGTCAGGTCCCTGTCTTCAGGGAGCTTGCTCTAGCTCTGGTGGTAAGCTAAGTCTGGATGATGAGCCTAAGCCACTTGCCACCTGGGGAAACTGAGGATCAGAGGGGTACGAGCAGCCCAGTGATGCCAGATCATGCTAGCTCTTGGCATGTATCTTCATTTGCTCCTTCAGTAATCCATCCTATGAGGTACTTGGGGTAACCCCATTTTCCAGAAAGGGGGAAGGGGCTTAGAGGAACCCCCGAGTGCAGCAGAGCAGAGACTGCAAGATCAATCCTTGTGACAACAAGGCCCATGGAATTTGGGTGAGGGAGGAGAGAGCTGGGGTCCCAGGAGGAACTATTTCAACAGGGAGGACCAGCGGGTGGATGTGACATCAGCTTTGGAATTGACATCTGTCAATCCTGTCCTTGGGGCAAGCACCACAGAAATCCCGCAGTTCTCAGTTACCGCTGCTATTCCTTGGGCCCCCCACATGTCCAGTACTTTCCAGCTAACTTCTCATTTAGTCTTCAGTGCAGACCTAGCAGGGAGGAAGCTACTGGGCCTGGGCTGCAGCAGATGGGGCCCAAGCCTATCTTCTAGAGACAGGTCTTTCAGGCCTTGTCATTCTAAATGCCCCTGGACCAAGGCAGCCCTATAGGAGTGGAGATGACACCTGCTGTCAACTCTGGCTTCTTGGTCACTTGCCCCAGGGACTCGGGGCTTGGTTTATACCGGTAGTGATTTACTCCCTGGCCCGGGCTGGTCTTCACTCACCCAGGAGTCTGCGCACATAGGTAGACTGGCCTTGGCTGAGTGAATCTTCAAGTACCTGCACTCTTTGCTTTGATGCCTGAGGAAGACAGGGTGCCCTGGCTCTGCCACTCATGTGTTCAGCCCAGTCTTGCCTCTGCTTAGCCCTGCAAAGTGTCTAGGGGGAGTTGGCCCCGATGGATGGTTCCTCTAGATTCCCACCTGGGGCATCAGGCTGCCTGTAACCCTGGACCCCCATTTGGGGGGCATCAGGCAGGGTGAGATGGGCTAGAGAACGCTGACCTCAAGTCTGAGCTTGAGTGGGCCAGTGGATTTTTCCATCTGTCAGGAGTTAAGGGCATGAGGGTCAGAAGCTTTGGGGGTGGCTTCCCTGGGAAAATTCCAAGGCCAGGTCAGGGCAGAGAACTGTACTCAGCAATGGGTCTGTCTCTGTCCCAAAGAGGGTGAAAGGAACAACCAAGACAGGCAGAGGAGGCCTGCTTTCTGTCTCAGAGTCCCAGGCCCAGCAAGGGCTTATGGCTTGTGTAGAACTCAAAGTGCCTAAGGGAAGTTCTGCTCCTGCTCTATTCTCTCAAGAACCCTGGCAAGAAGATCTTTTTCTTCCTTTTCCCCATAGCTGAGAGTCAGAGCTCAGCAATCTAAAATGGCATGCTTAGGAACTTCTGAACTTGGAAGTTCACCAGAAACTCTTGATCTCCAAACCTGACCCCACCTGCTCTCATCTCAGGGAGCTTCATTTCCACTGTTTGCCCAGCACTCAGAGCAGAGACCAAGGGCTCTCAGGAGCCCTCTCCTCCCCTCCAATTCATCACTAGGTCTCATGAGTTTTGCCTCCAAGAGACACACAAGGCCTACCCCTACTTTCCCTGTCACAGCCACCTGCAAGGTTACAAGGACAACTGCAGTGTCTTGTGCCCTGGCCTTCTGCCTCTCCCTGAAGCCCCCTACATTCTGCACAGAGCTGCCTGAGGGACTTCAAAAATGCAAATCAGCTGCTCACGGCGGTAAAATTCAAAATACTGACTGTGGCCTGAAAGGCTGCTCCCAGCCTCATCTCCTGCCCTCTCTCAGGGTCCCTCACCTTCAGCCTTCTGGAGTGAACCAAGACCACCTTTCTCAGAGCCTTGTCCCCATACTGCACCCTCTGGTTTCAGCCAAGGCCCTTCCTCAGAGAATACTGTTGGGAATAGTCCCTTACAGTCCTGACCCCTGTCCCATAGCCCCTGTCCCCTTAGTCAGAGCCCTTCTGCCATTTGGAGGATGTGCTTATTTACTTTTGAGGTCTCAAGCTTCTTAGGGGCAGGATCCCCATACCCAGTGCCTGGCCCTAGGCACTTAATCAATAATGATTGTGGGAGTTGGGGAACGGGGCGAGAGAAGCAAACCATCCTGCAAAGTAGGTATTAACCTCCCTGCTTTAGGGATGGTACTAGAGACTTTCTTCCTACAGGCTACTCATCTTGTGCCGGCTCTTTTTGAGTTTTTGAAGGCTCAGGGTACCCTAGTGCATGAGGGCAAGGCATGGACAGCAGAACCTACCTGTAGAGAACAGGGTTTTCCATATTCCAGTCATTGGGGAGGCCATGCATCCACCTCTGCTGTCGAGGAGACATCATCTCCCCTTCAGGAGCCTCCACCTTCCTCATCATGGGCATCCTGCCACTCTTCAGGGTCACAGCATGCTCTGCAGCCCGCTTCCTGGTGGCTGCCAGGGAGTGGACCAGCTGCACCTGAATCCAGGGAAGACCAGGGATGGGGAAGTGGTCAGAGCTGCTGACTCCCAGCACTCTCAGGCTGATGGTGGCTGTCTAGAAAGACATCTGGAGGGCTTCCCCCGGGAAGGCACTTTTGAGGAAGGCCTTCAACCCCAGGGCCCTCCCCATAGGAGAGCGCTCCTCCCTGTCACAGTCACTCCACCACTTCAACGAAGGCCTGTTTTTAAGAAACTTAAACAAAGATTGAGATGAACATCTCAGCCTTTTTTATAATCACAAGAAATTGGAAAAACAGAACTGACTAATAGTAGGGATTGGCTGAGTAAACATGGCATGTCCCTTTGATGGAACGTTAGGCATTTATTAAAGATGAGACATGTGAAGACTTTTTTATGACCTGAGGAAATGCTTAGGAGATGATATATGGTTAAACATATCACTTAAAAGCATACATTAAAAATTATAACCAAAATTATACAGTATGATCTCAAAATTTAAAATGCATAGAAAAAGGCCCTGGATGAAGTGTGCCAAAAGTTAAGAATGGGCTTACAGACAGCAGGATCGTGTGAGTGATGTAATTGTTTTTTGGTCTCTTTATACTTATATAATTTGCAGAGGTTCTACAGAGAATTATTTAGGGCTCAAATGAGGAATGCAAATCCCTTTTAAATAAGCAGTACAGAACTTCAAAGGAAGGATTCGGGTCTGTGTGTTTCTTTTAAGATCTTGTTTTGTCTATACAGTGCTTTAGAGAGGACAAGGCAGTTTTAACAACCTGCACTGTCAAGAGGGTTTTACTTTAATACAGTTATGGGAGTCCTAGATCAACGAGCAGGCAGCCACTCAGCATGGTGAAATACATGGGTACCCATGGGCGTGGAAAAGGATCTGTGAGATACTGTTACGGAGAAAAAGCAGATTTCAAAATACTAATCCAGAATAAAACCTATTTTTTACATACAAAAATTAGACATGCTTTTACGCATGGGAAAAAGACAGAGGTCACCCAGTGGTTCCATCCGGGCTATTTCTGAGTAATTTACATTTAAAATTATAATTTAGGTTTTCGAATTTTCAAGAAATGACATTCTAATTTTGTATTGGTACAATTTAAGAACCAGTAAGAATTATTTTAAAAATCAAAGTAATCTCAAAGCCCTTGTTTTATTCAGTTTCCAGTAGGGAAGTCCTTGGAGGGAGGGAGGGAGGTTTGGGAGAAAGCAAGGGAAAGGGGATGGAGTCAGGGGAACAGAGGGCGGGCCCTACCTCTGCCTGGAAGATCTGCTGGTAGGCTTTCCCATTCGGAACCTGGGTCACCTTCCCCACTGACGACATCTTGGCTGATGACAGGATGTCCTTGCTGGGAAGCCGTCGTCCAGGAAACACGTCTGGCGTCTCAACTCCAACTTCTGAGGCTGGGAAACCGCCTGACCCTAGCTCAGGTTCAGGTCCAGGCGGGACAACGTCTGGCCTCGAGGAGGCACCCCAGGGCAGGACTCCCGGGGAGGGACCCTCTGCGGGGGGTTGAGGGGGCGGGGCCCGTAACTCAGGGTTTTAACTTTTAACAAAACAATGAAAGTAACCTCAGATGAGCCCCGAACTCGAGGAGGAGTCCGGTTCTCCCCGCCGTGCAGGGCGCAAATCCGAAGGGACTTTGGGAACGTGAATAATACAGGATTATTGTTTGTGCCTCACTCTGCCATGCTCTTCCGGGAAAAGTCAACAGCGCTCAAGGTGTCAGTTAGGCCTGGAACCCCAGCGCAGCACTGAACTTGCATCCGTGACCCTAACCCACCCTCCATGGGACACTGGGAGGGCGAAGTGGAGGGAGAATGTCCTGATTCACGCTAACTAGGCGCCTATTGTGTGCTGAGAAGACTCAGTCAGCCCCTCCCATCCTCCTCCTTAGCTCCCCAGGTAGACTAAGCAGCCCCTGGACGTCCCCCTGAGCCCGGCAGATTGGAGGGAGGTCTTGCGCCTTGCTTGGCCGCGTCCCCACCTGCAGAAAGCACCTCTCCAGGCAGCCAGGGCCGATCCAGCAACTGCAGCTGGACGCCCATGGTCTCCAAAGCAACGCGGAGGGGAGGGACTGTGCCGGCCCCGCCCACGCTATTCTTCCCAGGGAAGGGAGGTTGCCCTTAGCAATGGGAGCGCCCCACACAGAGTAGTGAAACTCAACTACTTCCTTCAATGCCGGTTTCTCCTCCCTACAAGGACTCCAACTCCAGGGCTGCCAGGAGCGGCACAATTAAATGTTCTGAAAAGTGGTAGGATATATGAGATGTAGCATTGAGCCATCATGGTCCACAAAGTCCATCCTATCTTATTTGCCTTGGTTAAAACCAATCTCTGCTGGGAGACAGCACCCGGTAGTGTTTGCCTGTAAGAAAGAAGCTGAAAGACTCTGGAAGAGACTATCTCTTTCTCAGTTTAAAAGAGGTTGACAGCTCAGAATTCAGGATCAAGGCTTGCCTGGCCAGAGATGAAAATGCTTGTAGTTGGCACTAGACATGGCCTAGGGTTTCCCATATATATGAGACACCAGCGCCTTCTCAGAGAATCCCTCCCTTTGGCAGTGATATGTTACAATTGCTACTAAATGCTCCCTATGCCAATTTTCTAGAATCAGTGATTGTTCTGTCCAGACTAGAATCAGAAATTAAGAAATGGTGAGTATAAAACCCTTTCATTCTCATTCTTTGGTCCTGGTATTATTAACAAGGGGAAGTACTGTAACAATTATTAGATTCATTTTATCTGGAAAAAGAAAATGACCACCATAAGAGCAAATATTTAAAGAGAAGATTTAATACCTGCAATAACCATAAGGGGGTACCTTAATTTACCCATTTTTTAGATTAAGAAACTGAAGTTCAGAGTCAGTAACTTGGCCAAGATCTTCAAGACAGGAAGATCTAGGATATGAATCTAGACCCTGTAATTCGAGTCTTGAACCATCTGACCTGTGACTAACCAGAAAAAAAGTTATTTAACCAACTGATTGGATGTGCATATTGA